CGCCACCAACGCCCGGCCTTATATAGTGCTTCTTAGGGGCAGAGTTTTTCCAGAGAGATTTCTGGGGTTGGGATTGGTCATATTTCAATCCCTGAGCTCAGATTGGCTAAATCTCGTGGTCAGAGATTGGTTGGTTTTCTGCTCAGGTTCAGGTTCAGATTTGGCTCTGGTTTCAGGGCCAAAATGTGTTTCTTTGACTGGCTCTTTTTCCGTACAAGCACTTGGGAGGCAGAGGCAAGCAGATCCCTGAGTTTGAGGCCATCCTGGTTTACAAAGTGAGTTCCAAGACAGCCAGGGATACACAGAGAAACCCTGTTTTAGAAAAAACAAAATAGATAGATATTCCCAGGAATGGACTGCAAGTCATTTCCATCAAACAGTTACACAGCTCAATCCTATGGTGCAGACATGATTACACTGGTTTGGAAAAAGAAAAAGAAAACACACACACACACACAAAACCTTCATGTTGGTCTAAGTTTGCTAACTGCTCTTGAGAAATTGTTTAGGAGTCAGGGAATGGTGGCACATGCCTTTAGTCAGAGCACATAGGAGGCAGTAACAGGGGATCTCTGTGGTTTGAAGATCAGGTTGGTCTACATAATGATTTCCAAGTCATCCATATGCTATATGGTAGGATCCTGCCTCAAAGAAAAGAATGTATTTATTTTCAACATGTGTGTATGTTTCAGGACAATGTTTTTGTATACTGCCCTAAGGTGCCTTCTGATTAGTTTAATAAAGAGCTGAGTGGCCAATAGCTAGGCAGGAGAAGATAGGTGGGATTCCCAGGGAGAGAAAGGAACTAGAGAAAAATCTGAGGCCTGTGGATTTTCTCCAGCCAGACATGGAGGAGTTGGACATACAGTATGGAGAGGTAATGAGCTACAGGACAGAATGGAGATTAATACAAACAGGTTAATTTCAAAGAGTTAGTTGTGAACAAGCCCAAGCTTAAGGCCGAGCATTTATGGTTAATAAGAAATATGTGTCATGCCGGGTGATGGTGGTGCACGCCTTTAATCCCAGCACTCACGAGGCAGAGGGGCGAATCTCTGTGAGTTCGAGGCCAGCCTGGTCTACAGAGTGAGTTCCAGGAAAGGCTCCAAAGCTACACAGAGAAACCTGTCTCAAAAAAAAATCCTGTGTCATTATTTGGGAACTGGCAGTCCAAAGAAAATCTGACTACACGTGAATATAGGGGCCTCCTAAGGCCAGAAGAATTGAAGGTCCCAGTAGCTTGGTTGAGTTTCTGGTGGTTGTGAACTACTACCTGATGGTGGCCAGATCAGTATGCACTCATAACTACATCTTTCCAGGCCACCTTAATAAATTCAAGGTCCTCTGCAAGAGCAGCAAGGGGAGGTTTTGCTTTGTCTTTTTTACCTCAGACTGAAACTAAGGACTAAACTCAAAGGCTTCACTTCTAACAATTTAGAAATAAAGGGACCAGACCCTCACTCAGCCCCCTGCTTTAGCAACCATAACAAGCCTACAGAAAAGACACGTAGGCCTCTGACACAAGGAAACTCCAGATCCTCTGGCCTCCAAGAGCCTAGGACTAAAACTGAACACAAAGAAACTCCAGACTCCCCCTCAGCCTTTTAGATACTTGGTTTCTGGGAATTGTTTGGCCCCAAAAGAAACTCCAAGGGAGACCAAAGCCTCCCCTGTAGTCTCCAGGATACAGTTCTGAAAACTATTGGTATCTATGTACAGCAGACCACCTGCAAGTAACCAGACAAAGCCATAGAAATCACAGAATGTTCCCTCTCAGCACTGACCAGTGAGAATAATTGGTACACAGGTATTTCATGGCAAAATATGACTTTGAGAAATTCTAATTGTTCCCAAATGTCAACCAATCAAAAACCAATCTGTACCTACTGATGTATTCCTGTGACTTTGCCTTTAAAACTTAGCAGTTAGCTTCTGTGTTAGTGGCGAACACCTTTAATCCCAGCACTCAGGAGGAAGAGGAAGGCAGATCTCTGTGAGTTCGAGGCCAGCCTGGTCTACAGAGCGAGTTCCAGGACAGCCTCCAAAACAGTACAGAGAAACCCTGTCTTGAAAAACCAAAAACCTTCGAGGCCAGCCTGGTCTACAGAGCGAGTTCCAGGACAGCCTCCAAAGCCACAGAGAAACCCTGTCTCGAAAAACCAAAAAAAAAAAAAAAAAAAAAAAAAAAAAGCTGGGCGTTGGTGGCTCACGCCTTTAATCACAGCACTTGGGAGGCAGAGGCAGGTGGATCTCTGTGAGTTCGAGGCCAGCCTGGTCTACAAGAGCTAGTTCCGGGACAGCCTCCAAAGCCACAGAGAAACCCTGTCTCGAAAAACCAAAACCAAACAAACAAACAAAAAAACACAGCAGTAGGCAGGGAACCAGGGAACTTCACTCCCTCTGAAGGCTGCTAAATGGAGTCCCTGTCATGGTTGGATGAACAATTAGAACAATTAAAATAAACAATTAAAGCTTTTTACATTTTGGTGGGTCTGTCTTCCTGGTGGTCTCTGGGGATCTTTGCAACTTGGACACAAACGCAGACAACTAGACCAAGGGCTCTTAACCATTGAAATATCTCTCCAGCCTCAATATCTGGAGTTTTAGACTTAGGTTAGAGTGGCTGAGATGCTTAGTAATTTGAATGAGAATGGCCCCCATAGGCTCATTGATGATTTGGTCCTCAGTTGGTGAAATGGTTTGGAAGAATCAGATGCCACTGGGGCAGGCTTGGAGATTTCCTGTGGTTCCTGGTGCTCCCTCTCTCTGCCTCTGGGTGTGGATCTACGTGTAAGCTCTCTGCTATTTGGTCCACAATTATGAACTTTAACCCTATGAATCAATCAGAAAAGTAAATGTTTTTTGTGGTGATGTATTATTTATGATTCATTAAAGCTTGCCTAAGGATTAAGAAAACAATGTCAGCCTGGCATTGGTGTTGCACGCCTTTAATCCCAGCACTCGGGAGGCAGAGGCAGGAGATCTTTGTGAGTTCGAGGCCAGCCTGGTCTACAAGAGCTAGTTCCAGGACAGCCTCCAAAAGCCTCGGAGAAACCCTGCCTCAAAAAGCAAAGAAAAAAAAAAAAAGAAAACAATGTCAGCCGGGCAGTGGTGGCTCATGCCTTTAATTCCAGCACTCGGGAGGCAGAGGCAGGCAGATCTCTGTGAATTCGAGGCCAGGCTGGACCGACAACCTCCAAAACAATACAGAGAAACCCTGTCTCGCAAAAACAAAATAAAACAAAAACAAAAAAACAATGTCAGCCTAAAGCTATAGAGATCAGACAGTGGTGGCACATACCTTTAATCTCAGGACTCAAGAGACAAAGGCAGATGGATCTGTCTGAGTTCAAGGTCACCCAGGGCTACAGTAGATTGAATCAGTCTGAAAGAGTAACAGAGCTTATGCCTTTAGTCCCAGCTCTAGAGATATAAAAAAGATAGGAGCAGGGTCTTCAGTTGTCAGTCTCAGGAGTCTCTAGCCACATTGAGGAGGCATAGGAGTCCGAATCTGAGAAGCAGTGAAATCGGGAACAGTCTGAGAATTGCCCCTTTGGTCTGATGTAGAGGTAAGAGCTAGTGGCTTGGCTGCTTTGCTTTTGTGATCTTCAATTTGAAGCTTGAACCTGAACATATATTTCTGGGTCTTTTATTTTTCATGCTACATTCTTTCATAAGTTGCCTGGGTTTTGGTGCTTTCATCTAGCAATAGAAATACAAGAGAAAAATCAAGTCTACAACTCAGTCCAATGCCAAGCTTTTTTTTTTTTTTTTTTTTTTTTTTGGTTTTTCGAGACAGGGTTTCTCTGTGGCTTTGGAGGCTGTCCTGGAACTCACTTTGTAGACCAGGCTGGCCTCGAACTCACAGAGATCCGCCTGCCTCTGCCTCCCGAGTGCTGGGATTAAAGGCGTGAGCCACCAACGCCCGGCTTTGTTTTTCTTTTTTAAAAAGTGATCTCTCTTAAAACGTGATCTCTCTGAAGATTATGCTTTGCTATGTATCATTGTGCGTTTTGGTTGGTGATGGTGGTGATGGGGTAAGGGGTCCTGCAGATCAAACCTTGGCCCTTGGGGCTAGAGATGGCTCAGTAGTTAAGAGCACTTGCTGCTTTTACAAAGGACATGGGTTCAATTCCTGCACTCATGGTGGTTCTCAACCATCCATAACTCCAGTATCAGGGACACTGATACTCTCTTTTCACCTCAAAGAGCACCAAGAACATAGTTACACAGCATATATACACATGCAGGCTATTCACACATAAAATACATGAATCCAACTTAAAAATTAATCAAAAGCAAAACCCAAGGCTCTTGCACATGTGCATGTACTAAGCAAGTGCTCCATACCACTCACTCTTTCAAATACAGGAAAATATAAATGGCCTAAAATCTTAACATGTACACAAATTTAGGCACATCCCACACCTGTCTATCCTGTTATGGTGATCCCCACAAACCCTGAATAGTAATGCCTGACAAAGTGCCTTGCCTTCAGATATCAAGTGGCTTATCGACCTGGCTGTCCTGGTATTCACTCTGTACACCAGGCTGTCTCAAACTCTCAAAGATCTGCCTGCCTCTGTCTGGGGAGTGCTGGGATTAAAAATGAGCACCAACACCACCTGACTCATATGCATTTTATTAAGTAACTTAAATATTCTTGTTTTTATTCAGACAGTCTCATGTAACCCAGGCTGACTTAACTCACACGGTAGCTGTGGATAACACTGAACTCTAGCCTCCACCTCCCAAGTCACTGGATGAGATTCAGCTAAATCACCCCTACCCCCAGACAGGGTTTCTCTGTGTGGCCCTGGCTGTCCTGGAATTCACTTTGTAGACCAGGCTGGCCTGGAACTCACAGAGATCTCTCTGCCTCTGCCTCCCAAGTGTTGGGATTAAAGTCATGTTCTACCACCACCTAGCAAAAACAATTTTTTTTTAAATTTTCAAGCTAAATTTTTTTAAAGTGAGAAGGATAAAGGAAGTCAAAGGAATTTTAAATAACCGATTGTAAAACTTTATTTCCAGTAAAATCACACAAAAATTTCAAAAATAAGTGAATTCAAGAGATACAAAGAGAAAAGAAAAGCAATGAGACAGGAATTATACTTTGAAGCCAGATGGACGTTAGCTTCTGTGAAGTGGTCGGGGACAAGTTGGCTCTAGGAAATGCAGACATGGGAGGTTTCCATGGGCACTACAGAAAACAGCAATTTATGCCCTCTCCATCAAGAAGGAAAAGCAGTGCTCACTTCAGCAGACATATAGTAAAATTAGAACAATGCAGAGAAGACCAGCATGGCCTCTGCTCAAGAATGACACAAAAATCCCTGAAGCACCGCTTATTTTCCTTGCCATTAATAGGTGGTGAATTAAAGTTGTTTTTTCAAATTGAAGTGTCAACAGCACCATGAATACTAAATACATTGATATGAGCAAGCTTGCCACTGTGAGCTTTGTGCTGAAACAATTCATAGTTCACTGCTCTAGCTGTGACTACTCTATTTCATGACATTTGTAGCTACAGATTCCAAAGGAGCAAAGGGAGCTGTGACCATTAATCAGTCCAGGAGAAAATGTTACACCCTTCTGCCTCCATTTTACTTTTATGCTCCAGAGACTCAGTTACTAATTTATCTGCTTTCACTATTTCTTGATACAAATAAAGTTTTACTTTTAGTAAAAATAAAATAAATGTCTCACAGTCCAAGGATGACTCCTACTACTTCAGCTCAGAGAAACCCACAACACGGATGCATGGAAAGGTGAGGGCTGGAAGACTGCAGGTAAAGTCCATCCTGCATCCCTCGAGGAAAGGAAGCAGACTCTGCAAAATCACAAGGATCTAAAAATCTGGTACCTAATGTAGCAAATATAAGACCTGTGAAGGCCACTTCAAATTCCTCCTGATTCATCTCCAGCTGCTCTGGGGGCTTCCTGGGATCAGGAGTGGAGGACCAGTCCCTGAGCACATTTGATTACTAGAAGAGAAAGCCAGTGGGCTTGACAGCTACAGGATGCCAACTCCTCAGTTCCTGGCATCAGGCAAGGGCTTTAGACCCTGGACAGGTGACCTCAGGCAGGGGGAGACCGGGAGCGGATGGGTGAGCTTGTCAGGTAAGAGGATGTATAAGGGCCATCCCCAAATACATTGGCATAGGAGGACTTGAGGAATTGGACATAATTCTGCATGCTGCGGTTGGTGCTCTCAGACTGCTCCAAGCGGTCTTTCAGATCCTGTAGCCGGCTCTGGTACCGACGATCAGCCTAGGAGAAGAAAGAGCAGGGGTCGAGGGTAAGAAGCTAACAATGGGCAGTCAGAGACACAGACATGCACTTAGAGGGAGCCAACACTGGGAGAGGCACCAGGGCCTAAAATTGAGATGGGTATTTTCCCCTTGGATGGGGGGAGTTGCTTAATTTTTTGTTTTACTGTGTTGAGCCAAGGCCTCACCAAAGCTGCCAAAATTCAGTACATGGGCTTTGAATTAGCTGCAATTTTCCTGCCTTAACCTCCTGAGTCCTGGGATTACAGCAACATACACTGAATCAATATACCTAGCTGAGTTTGTTTTTATTTTATTATTTCACAAAGGGTCTCACTACTTAAGTCATTCCAAGGAATCCAATGTTTCTTCTGGCCTCCAGAGAGAACTTACACTCAAACACACACACACACACACCTTTTAAAAAGCTATTTAGGGCCGGCTCTGGTGGCGCAGGCCGGTAGGACATGCTGAAGAGGCAGAGGCAGGTGTTTTTTTACGAGACGGGGTTTCTCTGTATTGTTTTCTGAGGCTGTCGGTCCAGCCCAGCCTCGAACTCACAGAGATCCGCCTGCCTCTGCCTCCCGAGTGCTGGGATTAAAGGCGTGGGCCACCACCGCCCAGCGCTTTTCTGTTTTTTTTTCTTTTTTGGTTTTTCGAGACAGGGTTTCTCTGTATTGTCTTGGAGGCTGTCCTGGAACTCGCTTGGTAGACCAGGCTGGCCTCGAACTCACAGAGATCCACCTGCCTCTGCCTCCCGAGTGCTGGGATCAAAGGCATGCACCACCAATGCCTGGCTTTTTCTGTTGTTTTTAAAAAAGCAAAATACCTAGGGATTGATCCCATAGCTTCAAACATGTAAGCACTCTATTCAACTCAACTGAGATTTATCCCTAGCTGCTATGTTCTTTAATTTTTTTTTTCCAGACAGGGTTTCTCTGTAGGTTTGGAGACTGTCCTAGAACTCTCTTTGAAGACCTAGCTGGTCTGGAACTCACAGAGATCCGCCTGCCTCTGCCTCCCGAGTGCTGGGATTAAAGGCGTGCGCCACCAACGCCTGGTCCACAGAGCTTCTATCATGAAGGATGCTGAAGGTCTGTTCTGAACTAATATGACCATGTGACTTGTCCGTATGTCTATATGTCTAAGTATGTGCTGTTACACTTGTTGACCTGCATGTACTGAGCTAACCTCACATCCCTGCAATGAAACCAACTTGGTTGTAGTTTGTGATCTTTTGAATATGTTCCTAGCATGCACTTCTAAGAATCTGGAGGCCTTTAAATCCATGTTCATCAAAGGAACCGCTTTCTAGTTGTCTTTTATCACTCTATCTGTGTGGTTTTGGTATCAAGAGAATGCTGGCTTTGTATAGCCAACTTAGTAGTGTATGTTGGTAGTGTATGTATCCTGTTACTTTGTTACTGGCTGTTCTTCTAGAGGACCCAGGTTTAATTCCCAGCACCCACATGGTAGCTCATAACTGTCTGTAATTCTAGTTCCAAGGGATCCAACACCCTCACATCAACAGGGGAGATGCCACTGCACATAAAAGTAAAATCTTAAAAAATAATTAAAATAAAAAAAAAAAGACAGAAAGAGAGCAAACCAGGCGCGGTGGCACATACCTTTAATACTAGCACTGGAGACGCAGAGGCAGACAGATCTCTGAGTTCAAGGCCAGTCTGATTTACAAAGAGTTCCAGGACACCTAGGACTTCCTAAAGGGACCCTGTCTCTTTAAAAACAAAAGTTTGGTAGACTTCAACAGTGAATCATGCATGTGATCCTAGGCTTTTCTTTGTTGTGAGACTTGATTCTTGTTTCCAAGACAAGTTCTCACAGAGACAGGTTCTCAGTCCTGGCTGCCCTTCAAACTCACCTTGTAGACCAAGCTGGCCTTGAGTTAAAAGATTTACCTGCCTCTGCCTCACAAATGCTGGGATTGAAGGCATGTGCCTGCCTCCATGCCTACTTTTTGGGAGTTTTCAAAGATGGACTTACATACCATAGTCTAGCCAAGGATGAAGTTGAACATCTGATTCTCTGGCTTCTCTATTTCTATATTTATTTTCACTATGTGTTTTGTCTGCATGTAGATCAGTGTACTGTGTACATGCCTGCTGCCCTTGTACTCAGAAGAGGACACTGTATACCCTGGGACTGGAGGGACAGTTGTGAGCTGCCATATGGCCATATGGATGCTGCAAGAGCAGCCAGTGCTCTTACACAGCTAGGCCATCTTCTGTGGCCCCTTATCTTACTGTTTCCACCTTCCCAATGCTAGAATTCTAAGTGTGTGCCACCATGCCCAGCACATGCAGTGCCTGAGACTTGAAGCTTTGTCATGGCTGGCAAACACCCTAACAACTGAGCTCAGTCCCCAGACTGGGAGTAAGGTGTTAAAAAGTGCCCACTGCTATCCAGGGCTCACCTGATCTGTGCTGTCTGTTGTCTTATGAGATCAGAAGCACCAACATTCGGCACCTATATAACTATTAAATCTTGAGTTTTTGTTTGTTCGAATCAATAGTTTGTTTGTTTCTTTTTTTCTGTAGCCTTGGCTGTCTTGGAATTCTCTCTGTAGACTAGGCAGGCTTGAACTCAAAATCTGTTACCTCTACCTCCCAAGTACAGATAATAAAGACTTGGGCCACCACTCCTGGCTTGTTACATATTCTTCCTTTATCATTCCTTTAATTTGGAGTGACCTTTTGAATTTTCTCATTTTGGCTTCAAGTTTATTTCTCAGACTTCATCTTGTTTTGGGCTTTCATTAGCAAAGCAAATTGGTTCCCATCATTTGCATATGTCTGTGTCTACCAGTGAGTCTGATACATACTTAATTTGGACACATATTGTTGGGTCGTAGCTTTTCAGCCCAGTCTGTCTATCTCATGGGTAAGCCGAAGCCATCTATATTAAGACTGTTATTTACCGCATCCAGTAATTTTGTTGGTTGCTTTTTTGGTTGGTTGGATTATCTTTTGGGTTTACATTCCCCTCTACTAGTATCAGTGGTTTGCTTATTTACTGTGTGGGACACACCACATTCCTTCCAAGTCCTCTTGTGAAATTTATCCTAGCCCTATACTCCCCTAATTTAGACTTTCTTCCCTGTGTATAATTTTCCTTCCAGTATTTTCTTGCAGTACATGGAAATCATGAACTGCCTTAGCTTCTGTTTACCTTGAAGTTTAATTGTACTTTAGTCCATTTTAAAAGGTATCTTTGATGAACATAGCAATTTTGTATTGGTAATTATTTACTTTCAGGGTTTGAAATGCATTATTACATGCTAACCTGATTTTTTTGTGTAGCTGAGGGATCTGCTGTTAATTTTACAGCATTTGCCTTTGTGAGATGCTAGTTTTTCTCTTAAGGTCTTTTAAAGTTTAGTTTGTATTATTTGTGTGTGGGGGGGGTATGTACACATAAATGCAGTGACTGATAAGGCCAGGGAGACACAAGCAGTTGTGAGCCACCTGACATAGGTGCTGGTCCTCTACAGCTTCTCCTGTGAGCATCTTCCCAGCCCATCCTTTTTTTTTTTTTTTTTTTTCCAGACAGGGTTTCTCTGTGGCTTTGGAGGCTGTCCTGGAACTAGCTCTGTAGACCAGGCTGGCCTCGAACTCTCAGAGATCCGCCTGCCTCTGCCTCCCGAGTGCTGGGATTAAAGGCGTGCGCCACCAATGCCCGGCGCAGCCTTCATTTTCATGTCTGCACAGGAACACAAAGGAAAAAAATGGGCACCAAATCCCTCAGAACTAGAGTTTCAAGCATTTGTGGAATGCCTGGCTTATTCGTAATATGCCCAGATGCTGGGATACAAACTCCAGTCCTCATGATCAAACAGCCAGTATCTAACCAGTGCTCACAACTGCTGAGCCAGCTCTCCAGGCCCCACTGGGAGTCTTCTTATTGAATGGTCTACTCGTGAAAGCTCACCCTTGCATCACTAGAGGAGGAGACACAATGAATGGGAGTGGCTTCAGCTTCCTCTCTGCTCCACCAGAGAAGTGGTGCTGATGCTGGTCTGTCTTCTCAGTGAGCTACCCTCTTTTCTTCTGTACTTTTCATTTTTTGTTTTTTCGATACAGGGTTTCTCTGTGTAACGTTGGAGCCTGTTCTGGAGCAACTCACTTTGTAGACCAGGCTGGTTTCGAACTCACAGAGATCCATTAGGCTTTCTTTTATTTCCTTTGTGGATTTCCAAAGTTCTTCCTCTCTTTGGAATTAGAGTTATTTTTGCTTATTTTGGCTCTCTCCCACTTACATGGAGGCAGCTTCTAGCCCACCATTTTATCAATAACAGACATTTGTTAATCTCACAAGTCTATGGATATGCTAAAAACTGTTCATCTGTGTAATGTGTTTATTTATAGATATAAATAAAATCTTGTAATTCTGATTTTTTTATTATGTACACAGTGCTCTGCCTACACATATGTCACTTGCCAGAAGAGGGCACCAGATCTCACTATAGATGGTTGTGAGCCACCATGTGGTTGCTGGGAATTGAACTCAGGATCTCTGGAAGAGTAAGCAGTGCTCTTAAGTTCTGAGCCATCTCTCTAGCCCCGTAATTCTGATTTTAAGAAGGGATGTAACAGGGGCTGGAGACATGACTCAGTGGTTAAGAGCACTGGTTGCTCTTCCAGAGGATCTGAGTTCAATTCCCAGCACCCACATGACAGCTGACAACTATCTGTAACTCCAAGATTAGACACCTTTACAAAGACATACATGCAAACACCAATGCATATAAAATAAAAAAATGAAATGTTAAAAAAAAAAGAAGGAGCCGGGCTTGGTGGCGCACACCTTTAATCCCAGCACTCGGGAGGCAGAAGCAGGCGGATCTCTGGGAGTTTGTGGCCAGCCTGGTCTATAGAGCGAGTTCCAGGACAGCCTAAAAGACAATACAGAGAAACCCTGTCTTTTTTTTTTAAAGATGTATTTATTTATTATGTATTCAGTGTTCTGTCTGCATGCATGCCTGCAGGCCAGACGAGGGCATCAGATCTCATTATAGACAGTTGTGAGCTGCCATGTGGGTGCTGGGATTTGAACCAGGATCTTCTGGAAGAGCAGCCATCTCTCCAGCCCGAGAAACCTTGTCTTGAAAATCCAAAAAAAAAAAAAAAGAAGAAGAAGAAGGGGGACTGGAGAAATGGCTCAGGAGTGAAGAGCACTGGCTGCTCATCAAGAGGATCGAGGTTCAGTTCCCAGCACCCACATGGCAGCTCACAACTGTCTAACTCCAGCTCCAAGGCAACTGACACCCACAGAAAAAAAATTTTTTTAAAAAGAAGGGGGGGCGGGGGAGGAGGGGAAGGAGAAGGAGCAGGAATTGACATATGAAGCAAGCTTGTTTCTAACTTAAATAATAAATAAATGAATGAAGAAGGGATGTAACAGGAGTCATAGCTCAGTGGTAGCAGCTTGCCCAACACAGTCAAGGGTCTGTGTACAATCCCTAGTACCAAAACAAGGAGGGAGAAGTCTACGCAGAATATATGTATGGGATGGCAAGGTGACTAGACAGTAAGCTACGTGACATTCACGAGAACACCAATAGACAGTTTTGCCTGCAATCCAAGGAAGCCCTGCCCACCAGCCCAACTCACATCATCACGAGTCCTCCGCAGCTGACCAAGTTCTGTCTTGGTCCTGCTCAGCTGGGTCTCAAGGTCCAGGATTTTGCTCTGGGCTGTTCGCTCCTTGGAGAGTGCCTGCTCCTTGGTTTGCTCCACCTGCACGCACACAAGGTAGAGGTAGGGCTGCTTGAGCCTGCAGAAGAGAAGGCTGGCCACTCCCACTAACCAGTCACAGCCCAGGAACAGAAGCTAACTAGACAGAAACTCTTACTATCCACTTTTGCCTGCCCTTTTTCAGTATCCCTAAAACGTAAAAAAATCTTCCTGAGCAATCATATAGAGGGCTGATCCTTTACAACAGATATCAATTTCATTCTCACAATGCATTCAGAAGGAAGATACTACTGTACCCATTCTTCAGATGGGAAAGTAGGCTGAGAAAGGTTAGCACACAGAACTAAATATGTGTACAACGACTGACCTGCCGCCTGGCATCTTCAATGGCACTCTCCAGCTGCCTTGCCAAGGACCCGCACTCCCGCGTTTTCTCCTCCAGCCGCAACTGAGCCTGGTGGATTGCCTCTTCCCTCTTGGCAATCACCTGTAGGAACTCGACATTCTGGGCGCTGGTGGCCTCCAATTTCCTAAGTAAAAGCATTCCATTAGACCCTGCAATGGCCTACCTGTCTTGATCCACTGCCAGGGGGCTGCTGCCTCCCCTGAGCTGGGGATCTCGTCACTTGAATAATCTCCATGAATCTCCAGAAGCCTCAAGAAGAAAGTGTATTTTCAGATCAGGGAGGTGGCTGCTGGCCTGTGTAACTCCAACAGTGCAGAGAGAGGGAGGACTGCAAGTGTAACTGAGTGTGCACGATGCCACCTACGCGTTGTCACACAGAGAACAGCAACCTGCGGTTGACGGAGGCCTGCCATTGTCAGTCCATCCAGGAAGGGGGCGCAGAGCCCGAAGGAAGCAGGAGGAACAGGATCGAGGTCAGCGCAGCAGGCAGGTCTGTTACCAAAACCCAGCCGGAGCCTCACAGCACCTTATGTAACAGACATAGGACAGCTCCGGCTACCCCACGTCACACCATGTCTCCTGCTCTTCCAGAGCACCGCTTCCGCTCCTAGTGACCCTGACTGCATCTTATGGGCCAGCTAGGCAGAGCACAGGTGGGGCACAGGAGGCCACCTGTTCTAGCCCCATTGCAGGATGTGCCGGCCGCTAGGGCAACTAAGACCCTAAGATCTTAGTTCTTAGCCCTGTGTTGTTTTTTTAATAATTTGTTTTTATTTTACATACGTTGGTGTTTTGCGCCGGGCGTTGGTGGCGCACGCCTTTAATCCCAGCACTCGGGAGGCAGAGGCAGGCGGATCTCTGTAAGTTCGAGACCAGCCTGGACTACCAAGCGAGTTCCAGGACAGCCTCCAAAGCCACAGAGAAACCCTGTCTCGAAAAAAACCAAAAAAAAAAAAAAAAAAAAAAAAAAAGTTGGTGTTTTGCCTGCAAGTATATATGCCAGAATCAGATTCCCTGGAACAGGAGTTACAGACAGCTGTGAGCTATTATGTGGTTGCTGGGAATTGAATCCAGGTCCTCTTGAAGAGCAGCCAGTGCTCTTAACTTCTAAGCCATCTCCCCAGCCCATTTTTTGTTTTTTGAGATATGGTCTCCTTACATAAGCAAGGTAGCAGCAATCCTCCTGCCTCAGCCTCCCAAGTACTGGGATTAGAGGTGTGCCACCATGCTGGGCTGCCGGTCCTCTATTTATAGGTGCTAACATCGTTCTGGAGGAAGAGTTCCCAGCATAAGGAGCAGCTTTTGTTTTTTTTGTTTTTGTTTTTAAACATTTATTTATTGTGTATACAGCCTTCTGCCTGCATACCAGCAGAGGGCACCAGATCTCATTCAAGGTGGTTGTGAGCCACCATGTGGTTGCCGAGAATTGAACTCAGGACCTCTGGAAGAGCTGCCAGAAGGAGCAGCTTTTGTAAGCACCAGCTGTGTGCATCTGGGCACGTTACCACCGTTCCCTGAGCTTGGTTTCCTCATAGTTAACATTTGGGTAGTTCACACCTATGATCCCAGTACACATGGGGCTAAAGCAAGACACAGATTGAGACTTGATCTCAAAGAGCCAAAATTCAGGGCTGGCACAATATGGTTCAGTGGGCAAAGGCGCTTACTGTCAAGCCTCATGACCTGAGTTCAATCCCCAGGACCCACATAGTAGAAGATGAGAACTGACTCCTACAAGTTGTCCTCTGACCTTCACACCCATGCAGGGCCCAAATAAATCTTAATAAATAAAAATAGGGTTAAAAAGATAGGGGATAGAGAGATGGCTTGGTGGTTAAGAGCATATACTGCTCTTGCAGAGGACCCAAATTCAGTTCCCAGCACCCACATGAGGCAGCACACAACTGTTTATAACTCCAGCTGCAGGGGAGCTGACCTGGAGCCTCTGTGGGCACCTGTACTGCACACACTCCCAGATATCCACAAACCCATGAATTGAAATAGGACTAGTACCAGCTGACAAACATCTACAATTAGCTTTTCATTTCTGAGCAAGTGACGTGCTAGACCCATTTATGAGGACCTCTCACGGGGGACTAGCGTGACTCCTTCTGCTGGCAAATTACTCCTACACTGAGCCTTCCTCAGACGAGGAAACAGGTTCAGAAGTTAAATAACCTACCCAAGGTCACAAGGGAGGCAAGTGTCTGAACTGGACCCAAGGCCAGGGCTTCTGTTGCCAAGTCTCCCCTATAACTGCTTTTGACAGTCTGTAAATAAGAGTCAGATCAGGAAGGTTGTAGGAACCTGGCTCAGCAGCACACTGGTATTTGGGATGCTTCATTCAAGGCAGGCCCTGCTGGTCTGCTTTGCCTAAGCCTGCCTTTGAGAGAATCCTGCCCTCCAGCAGACGGGCCTCCATCCCAGTCGAACAGCATCCCTTCAGGCTGGCAGCCCCTTCCTCTCACCCACAAGGCTTACCAATGAACGCAAGCAGCTCTTCCTTGAGTTCTGCCTAGCACCTTCCAGGGCCTTGAGTCCCTCCAATACTTTGGCACACTAAGCACAAAGCAGCTAAGCGGCAGAAAGTCTCAAGTCCTAGGAAGAGGACAGACATGGGACCAAATGCCTCTAACCTCTCCAGTTCATCCACCTTCAGACTCAGTTGTTTATTTTCCTTCTGGGAAGCCTGCTGTTTCTCTCTCGCCATCTCCAGCTTGTCCCCCTGGTGTTCGATCTAAAATGACAGGAACGTAGACCGGTTTACGAGGGAATTTCCCGTAAGAGCAACTAATGAAGGAATTCTCCCTTCTCCCTGTGCTGTCATCACGACCTCAGCAGGTGTCCCGTATTCAACCAACAACCTGGAAGAGAAGAGCAGGGGAGGGGCAGACGCACTCCACCTCCCACACCAGGAGACCACCACGGCTTAGATGCTACAGCTAGGATTCGCCCCTCATCAGGGGCCCCAAAGGCCCAGCTGGGATTGTCGGAGACACGAGATGTTAACAGCAGCTCATTGCACAACAAACCACTGAACTTTCCCAATTATGTTGTTGGCAGCACTGATTTCATCTCCCTCAACGGTGCAATGCAGCAAGGCAATAGGGCAGCTTTGATTCATTTAGGCCAGCAGGTTTGAGAAGTTCTCTTGAGCGCTGCTTTATGTGAGAGCCTCAGGTACAAGAGCTCAAGAGACCTTGAGGACATTCAACAATCGTGTGAGACACTGGGTTCGTGAGACACTGGGTTCAAAGCCCTGTGGATACTAAGTATCCCTGTGACATAGGGACTCACTTGTCCCCTCTAAGTCTCAGGCTGTCATTGGAGAAATAACACATATACTGCATTAGGTTTCTGGGGATAAGTTGACAGCCTGCTGGAATGGGGCGGGTGCTCAGAGCAAAACAAACCAGCGGTTTCACTTTATGCTGCCCAAGGCAAACACTTCAGGAGAGGAGTGGGGCGCAATGGTGCAAGACTACAATCCCAGCATTCCCTGAAGTACAGGCTAGAGTAGGAGTTTATGGTCATCCTTGGCTACACAGTAAGCTCAGTCTCAAAACAAGATTTTAAAAGAAAGGGTAGAGACCTGCCCAAGTCAGACAAAAAAAATGAGTGGCATATGATGTCTTGGACAATGCAGGCAGGAGACATGTTTCCAGTAACTGACAGACAATTTGCTTCTGGACAAAGGGGCTGCTTGCTTCTGTGGATCTGTGGAAAACAAGGAGAGGCAGTTAAAGCTTGGGAAGGATGGAACAAGGACAAGCAATGGCCAGGTGTCTGCTGTGTCTCCTGTGTCTCCGTGGTCGGAAGACAGCTGTAAGATGTGCGAGGCAGAAGCAGGCAGAGCACGAGCACATGGGTGGCCATAGCGGGGGCCCGAAGGCTCCTAGAGTGGCGAGTTCTATAGCTACAATCATTCTGTGCAACACGAAGGATTTGGCACACCAGACTTTTATTTCACAGCACTGATGATAGCTCACTCCTTTCAGAAATCGGCAGCCAAGAAAAAGGAAGTGGTCCTCCCTTGGGGGGCGTGCAGCTCATCTCGGTAAGCGGGACCCTGCTCGGGCCAGTTCGTGGGATCCCTTCTGCCAGTCCCTTACCCGGCTGCGCAGGTCTGAAATGATGGCTGTGAGGTCGATATTCTTCCTCTCGTAGCCCTGCAGCTGGTCTTGGCACTCGGCCAACTTGGCCTCTGTGATCTTGAGGATGTCAGGCAGTTGTTGCAGGTCAGCCAACTGCGACTGGAACTGCCGGCGGGCCTGGAGCAGGAAGAGAAGCCCACTGTTGGCAAGATCCTGACTTACAATAGGGTGGGCCTTCCTCTAGAGGACAGCAGGGCTGTCCCAGTCTCCAAAGCCCTCAGCCCACGGACAGCAGTTGGCTAGCTCTCCCACAGGCCACGCCGACTGATCTCTGCAGGGCAAACTTGGGCCTGCCTTGCCATTTGATGTGGCCATTCATTTAGTCAGCAGTTCTGAGGCAACCCCAAGATTCAGCACTATCCTGAGGGCTTTGCATTTATTTGAACAATAATAAGGCACAGTTGTAACCACAAAAGGACACTAAGGCTACAGGGCTCAAACTTAGCTCAAACCTGGAAAAGCCAGAATTACACTGGTCTAATTCCAAATCCCCTAGGAAGGCAGCCATGATGATACAAATACGGGACACAACCACACCCACACAGAGGTAAAAATGGAAACAGAATGCACAGTATAGAAGAAAAGCCAGAGAGGGGGCAACAGGAAGAGAAGAAAGAGCACACACACAGGGTGGGTGGAAGCCAGCCAGAAAACCAGTTACACCTGTGAGCCACATCAGGCAGGGTTAAGGGCACACAGGGTGCCACCAGGATGAGACACCTGTACAGAGCTGTGGGGAGAGCAAGGAAGGGGGACAGTACCGCCTCAATTTCTTTGTTCATCTCATCTTTAAGGATCTTGTTCTCTTTATCACAGCGCTCTAGCTGGGCAGCCACTTCATCAGCCTCCAATCTGGTTTTCATCACCTAGGGAACAAAGCCACAATGGGTGCTCTTGGGCAGAACCTTCCCCTCCCCTTTTCCCTCAGAGGCCTAGTGGCGAGTGCCAAGCAGCGGGGCCAGGCTACCCAAGGGGTCTACCTGGCTCTTATAGTTGTCGATCATCCCTTCGTAGTTCTTCACCGACGCCTTCAGCTGCTGGACCTCCAGGTGAGCCTGGTTGAGCTTGTCCTCCATAGGAGCAAAGCTTGCCTAAAGAAGGGAAGACTTGTGAGCAACCAGAAAGAAGGTTCAAGATCCTTACCTTCAGTCTACTTGTAGAAACCAGTAAAGAGCACATCCCTGTAAGCAATTTTCATCAGTGAGTTTCCGAGTAAGACACTTAATGTGACCCCTCCATTGAACTGAGATGACAAATAAATGGTACTTCTTTTTCTTTTCTTTTCTTTTTTTTTTTTTTTTTTTTGGTTTTTCGAGACAGGGTTTCTCTGTAGCTTTGGAGGCTGTCCTGGAACTCTCTCTGTAGACCAGGCTGGCCTCGAACTCACAGAGATCTGCCTGCCTCTGCCTCCTGAGTGCCCAGCACATACATGATGCTTTTAAAAACTTGAAAAATACTTTTTAAAATTAATAGTATGTTGTAAATGGCTGGACGGTAGTGGCACACGCCTTTAATCCCAAGGGGACACAGAGCAACTGTTGACACTGACATGTCACTGGTGGAAACTCTTTGGCCACTTGTTAACATCTGCTAAGGCTGAACCACCAGATGACCTCACAATTTTCTTTCAAGGAGTATATCCAACTACATGTACCCAGGAGCCGTCCACCACCAGGAAAACAGACAAGCTCTAGTGGATCCATCTCCCAGCTCCCACCTACAGCACTGAGGAGGAAATTATACCCACTGTGCTGAGGACATGGACCATCAGTCCACAGCACACAGATGGATTAGTGATGACACACCCAGCAGCTGCCTTTACAGGGTGCTCGTACCTTCCAGAGTGATTAAAAGCTGTTCACATTAAGTTGTATACTTTCCCATGTCACACTAGTCTTGCCTAACAAAAACTAAAGTCAGAGGAAAAATCTGCTTCTCTGGAGTGTCAGCTCTGCTCAGGGTCTCTGGCCTGAGTCACAGCTTACTTGGAGTTTGGGTTGGCATGTTTGAGACAGGTTTCACTCAGTAGGCCAAGTTTCCTCAAATTAATAAACTTAGAGTGATCCTCCTGCTCAGTTTCCTCAGTGCTGAGATTACAGGTATGTACCTCCACATTCAGTAAAGACAAATAAATGGCTGGATCTACAGAATTGTTCTCGACTTCAAATCCCTCCTCCAAATACTTCCTTGGGCAAAACCCTGTGTGACGCTCATTAAGCCTTGCTTCCTTTTTTTCCCCTCTCTCTCGTTTCTCTGTGTAGCCCTGGCTGTCCTGGAACTCTCTTTGTAGACCAGGTTGGCCTCAAACTTACAGAGATCCACCTGCTCTGCCTTTGCTTGCTGAGTGCTGGGATTAAAGGTGTGTGCCACCACCATCTGGCCAAACCTTGCTTTCTTTATTATCTTTGGCAGGTTAGAGATCAAACCTAGGACCCCAGGCTCGCTATGCAAGAGCTCTACAAGTAAGGTATATCCCACTCCAAGTTCCTTATTAACCAAAATAGTCAACATTCAATTGCAAGGCCCTAGAGAGTCATGATAAGAGTCAAAGTCAATTTCGTTCACTAAATACATCATGTAAGCATTTCACATGATACTACAATCTCAGCAGGACTCCCCACTCAGGGAGCCACAGCAATAAATGATTACATTACCACCCTCCCAACAGACAGACAGACAGACAGACACACACAGACACACACAGACACAGACACAGACACAGACACAGACACAGACACAGACACACACACACACACACACACACACACACACACACACACACACACACACACAGAGAGCCCTGAAGCTAGTAAGATGCAGCAGTGCGGGTGAGGCCAGACATCGCTGACACTAGAGCACTCCCTTTATCAGCACACTGCCTGAGCTCTCTGCAGACCCTAGGCTCATCTGGCCCATGAGGGTCCCCAGCCTGCCCTTGGTCTCCCAGCTCCCAGTATGCATCCAGACCTTGAGCCTCTCGTTCTCCAGCTTGAATGCAGAATACTCGGCGGTCTGACGATGCAGTCTCTCCACCAGGCTGTCCCGGTCTTCCCGCATCTTCTCCTCCAAGCTTTGTTGTTGGTTTACAAGGTCTGTCACCCGACTGCAAGATTAGCAGATAGAAATCAATTCCCAGATTTCTGTGGGAATGGAGTCTGCCCCCACCACAGACTGTTTCCACCTCACAGCATACTGCCTTTTGCCCCCGTCTCATACCAAGAAGTGGCTTTCTCACATCATTGTCCCACCTCCACATAAGATCCTTTCAAAACTGCTCCATGAGACATCCTCTGGAAGCTGCCTACCATTTAGTCAATCCTGAGTCAAACCTTTAGTCAAAACTGTTAAATGTGTCCGTTCTGATCACCTCAAAAGACTGAGACACAGTCCCTCCCTGCTTCCAGCATCACCAGACAGCCCTCTACCATCCTTTCTTGGTGTAGGACAGAGTCCTTTGAGATCTCCCCACAATCTCCAGGCTGATGGTCGGTAAGGATTGCCCAGTTAGTCCTCACGCCCAGGCTTGGCACTTGTGGCTTTTGTCCCCACAACAATGTTCCTGTGTGTATACCCCTGGCTATCACAGGTAAAAACTGTAAAGAGAGAGGCCTGAGTGACAGCAAGGAAGCCACGCTGCCTTCCTGTTCATCCTCTCTTCTTTGTTGCCGGTCAGCAGGGCTGTCAGTGAAATCTGCAGACTGTAGCCTCATTGGAGAGTTCCGAGGCTCTGGTCTTACACACCTCAACCTCACACCATCACACAATCTATGCACGGTCTGTGCTCTCAGCGTTTTTGTTGTTTTTCAAGACAAGGTTTCTCCAGACAGGGTTTCTCTGTATTGTTTTGGAGGCTGTCCTGGAACTCACTCTGTAGACCAGGCTGGCCTCGAACTCACAGAGATCCGCCTGCCTCTGCCTCCCGAGGGCTGGGATTAAAGGCGTGCGCCACCACTCCACCTCACTCCCTGCATTGCTCTCAGGGGTTTTTAAATTTTTATTTTTATTATTATTTGAGGTTTCTCAGCTCAGGGGATGCAAACCAGGGCTCTCACACACTAGGCAAATGCCCCCCTGAGCTCTACTCCAGCTGTGTTCTCAGGGTGTTCACTTAGCAAACCCTGAGTGAGCACTGACTGGGCCCAGTACACAGCATCTCACCGGGCAGCCTACCACTCACCCTTAGAGGCCCACTTCAGAATCCCCTCCTCAGAACATCCCTTCTTCAACCCTCATCTCTACCATGTATCCTTTATAACTTCCTCTCTCTCTTCTTTCACAAGATTGAGAATTCCCTGAGAATAGCACCCGATACACGGCACGTTCTCCACCTTGCTTAGCTGAGCAGAATGCAACACAAACACTTCCCAAGGAAAGCTGTCCTCAAATGGGAGGCTGCTAGCTTCCTGTGGCCCTATATCCTTGACCAAAGGAGCCTGTGCATCTTGTAGCCCCAAGACCCCAAGTGGAACTCAGAGCAGGTAATCCATTTGTATTCTTCCAGCTGCAGCCCCACAGCCAGCACACAGGTACATGGGAGATGCTCCACACATACTTTTACAATGAAGGAACAAATGACTGTGGCTGAGAACAATTGTGTGGTCACTGACTGGCAAAGAAAGTGGGTCAAAGTCAGTCATACACACCCTGGAGGCTACTGCTGCCACTATCTCCCTGCCATACCTCTGACCTGTTGGCAGGCAGCACTGGAAGACAATGGAGAATTCACAGGGACCAGCTGCACCATCCCCCAAAATCAAGCAAGATAACTGTGTACCCATGTTCTGTTGCATTGACTTGGGCTAGACTGGGCCTCTGCGATGGAGAACCTCATCCCCACCGAGGAAACTTACAGATGTTTACAGCTCAAGGGATGGAAACCAGGGCCTCTCATGTGCTAGGCAAGTAGAGTAGAAGTAGAGTAGAGGTCAGGGGCTAGAGCCAGAGCCTGGCACATGGCTGCTCACATCTAGCACAGCTTACAACTCCACCCCACAGAGAACACAGCAGCATCATGAGCTTTGAGACCTCAGGGTACCATGCTCCTTCCACTTGCCCCTCAAGTCCCTTCCTCAGTTCCTCTCTTAACACAAAGACGTACTCGTTCAAGACGATAATTTCCAACTCAAGGTCTCCTTTGTCTTTCACAACCTGGTTGTAGCGGCTCCTCCATGACTCCAGAGTAGATAAAGCTTCAGCAACATAAAGGTCCTAGGAACGCAGGACAGTGGGCATGTCAGCCTGCTTTCAACACCCAGGCTGAAAGGAGGTAAGGTGGGCTAACTTACACAGCCTCCCCCTCCCAAGATGAGAGAATACTGGCAGTGGTACAGGCGCCAAGCAAGCTAAGCTCCCAGGCTCCCAGCATCTCACTGCATCCTGTGGGCAGATCCTCAGTCATCCTTCCCTCAGGCTGGACACTAGACAGTCCTAGCCCTCTAGTCACCTCCATTTCCCTAGCCACACCCCTTCCAGCTCCTTCCCTCTAACCAAAGGTGCTCTTCTGGGAGGAGAGGCAGGACCCAGGCCTGTTACCTTGTCGGCAAGCTGCACATGTAACTGCTCGGCATATTCCTCACTCTTCTCAGCTCGCTCCTTCTGGGCTCGGATGGCCTTCTTCAGGGTCTCTTTGTCTCGGTCTCCCTTTTGCTTCAGTTCCTTCAGCTGCTCCATGATGGCTTCCACTTCCGCCTTGTGCTGGTTCCCACTGCGCTCCAAGTTCTGGTAGGAGACAGGAAGGAAGAGGTGGAAAAGACAGCAAGGAGGCCCGGCAGAGAACAGAGGGGAAGACGTAAAAGCGCAGACGCAGACCTATCGTGAGAGACACCAGAGTCGTGGCCCTCTGGGGCTCTTTGAGCATGGAGAGCTTTTAAACTCATCAGATACCTGAGTGACTCAGCAGAGCAGCCACCCTGGGAACCTGGAAAGCATTTGAGACTAACAACTTCCTCGGGTGGTCATAAGAAACCTGAGAGTGCCAGCCTCTTCCGGCCCCACCCGAGAGCCAGCAAGCACCTTGATCTGCATGCACAGACGACTGTTCTCGGCCTCTTTGCACCGGAGCTGCGCCTGTAGATGCCCACGCATGGACTCCATGGACTTGGAGAGCTCAGATGCTGTCTTTGCTTGAGCCTTGGGAGACAGAGAAAGTGATGGAGCCGGCTCTAGCATAATGGCCAGCAGCGCGGGTCCAGCACAGCTCAGGGGCTGGGCACGGTACCTTTTCACATTGTATCTCCTGGAGAAGCTCTTCTACCTCCTTGTCCTTGTCTTGCAGCAGTAACAGCAGGCGCTGTGAGAGAACAGTCACACGCTCTGAATCGGGCAGAGGGGCCTGACCACTCAACATAGAAACCACTTGGCAAATGTCAGAGACCTAGGCAGGAAGTACCTAGCCTATATTAATTTTTTTAAAGAATGAGTGTTTCTCAGTTTTAAGAAAGGTGATGTTAACTGGAAAATATAGAAAAGCACAAAGCAGCCGGGCGGTGGTGGCGCACGCCTTTAATCCCAGCACTCGGGAGGCAGAGGCAGGCGGATCTCTGTGAGTTCGAGGCCGGGCTGGACCGATAGCCTCCAAAACAATACAGAGAAACCCTGTCTCATAAAAAAAGAAAAGAAAAGCACAAAGCTCAAAGAATTCTGCCCAGCAATAACCACACATCATTCAAAATGAGACAAGTATTTTGTCCTGCACTCTACAAATCTCACATTTATCACAATATGACTGAATCTTTCAAATTTTTTGGCAGGTGCTGATGTTCCAGCATCCTCACCATCGTAGCTAGCTTACCTTCCTAAGCTGGGAGTGCAATGTCAGTAACCCTCAATTTCCATTCCTTCCTCAAACCTGTATTCTCTCTCTGAGTCTTGCTAGAGATGGCTTGTTAAGAAAAGCAGGACAGAGTGAGAGCCAGATGAGCTGGGAAGGGGCACACACAGACTGTCGCCCTTCACAGTGATCACTAGCCAGGCAGCAAGGCCGTTAGCTCTACTTCCTAACACTCGAAGAGACATGTGAGGCCACTGAATACCAGAGGCTCCCAATGTCTTGGGATTAAGAAGCCTGATGAACTTTTAAGTTCAGGTCAGCCAACAGGTTCCCAAATTATTTGGACACGAGGCTCCGCTGTTTGTCTCTTGCACCCATGAACTAACATCTTGCACAGCTTCAATTCCATGGAACATGCAGCCTTGGAAGACAATTCTAAGATGGATTTCCTAAGTAAAAAGGTATTTACTTTTTTTTTTCTTTTTGAGGCAGGGTTCTCTCTCTATTCTGTCATCCTGGCTGTCCTGGAACTCACTCTGTACATCAGGCTGGCCTCAAACTCCCTGAGATCCACCTGCCTCTGCCTCCCAAGTGCTGGGATTAAAGGCATGAGCCACCACACACAGCAATATATATTTTGACTGTTGGAACTCAAAAAAAAAAAAAATCCAGGATTAACAGGGCCAGAGTACTAAGGATCCCTCAAGCTGGTGTCTCACTTTGTACCTTGAGCCCTCCAGTGATCAATTACCTAGATAAGCCTAGTAGAGAAGGCAGCAAAGCTGGTGCCCACCAATTTATAGATCACAAAATACCACCCAGACAAATGGTGGAACAGGGGCTCCAGCCTGCCCTCCAGTCAGCATCCATTCTTGGAAGCCCAGGCTTCTGGCACCTAACTCACTGGAGTGGGCAAGGGGTGTGTGGTTACCGCTTTTTCTGAGTCCGCCTCTGCCAGACGTTTCAGCAATGCACCTTGTTGCTCCATTAGTCTCTCAGAATCCTTCAGCATGGTTAGAAAAAAAAAGAAAAATTAAATAAGTAGTGCACAATTCAATGATTTTCTTTTACCCAGTTCTCATTATAAAGTCATGAATGTTAATATGAGTTCAATATACCAGGTGGTGGCACACACCTTTAATTTCAGGATTTGGAAGGCAGAGGCAGGAGGATCTCGGGAGTTCAAGGCCAACCTGCCCTACAGAGCCAGTTCCAGGGCAGCCAGGGCTACACAGAGAAACCCTGACTCAAGGGATAAAAAAAAAAAAAAAAAAGAGAGATAAAATAGAAATATAAGTTGAATACACATGCCCACATCCACTAAAGCTAATAGTTTGATGGTGGCCTTTCCCTTTTCTATACATTGCTTTGAAATTTTGCTTCCTTTGGGGGGAGAGGTGAGCACACGTTCAAGACAGAGTTTCTCTGTTTAATAGTCCTGGCTGTCCTGAAACTCGCTCTGTAGACCAGGCTGGTCTTGAACTCACAGAGGTCCGCCTACCTCTGTCTCCCCAGTGCTGGGATTAAAAGTGTGCACCACCACTGTTCAGCTCATTTTACTTCTGTTTTTTAAAAATTTGGATTGCTTTTCATCATATGTATATGGGTGTTTTGCCTGTGGGTGTCTGTGTACTGCAAGTGTGTGGTGCCCATGGAGGTCAGAAAAGGGCATCTGGAAGAGCAGCCAGTGCTCTTAACCTCCGAGTTCAATTCCCAGCACCCACATGGTGGCTCACAACTATCTATAGTGAGATCTGCTGCCCTCTTCTGCCATGCAGGCATACATACAGGCAGAACACTGTATACTAAACAAATAAAATCTTTAAAAAACCAAAAACAAAAACAAAAAACTTGCCACTTTAGCTTGGTAGGCATATAGCAGTAACATTTAGTACACTCATAGGGCAATGCAATCACTACCATTTCCATCATGCCAAGGAAACCCTGGTACTATTAAGCATCTACTCCCTACTGCACCCTCCCTCTAGTCCTTGGCAGCCACCAACCTGCCCCTTATCTCTAACCTGCCATTGCTTTTTTTCTCCCTGGTGCTAGGAATTGAACTTAGGACATGGTAGACATGCAACAGTTCTGAGATTATTTCCAGACATTGCATTTTCACTCCCCTTGATGATTACCTTCCATGTTTTTTTTTAAGACTTTATTTTTATTTATAAGGGTATGGGCATGTGTATAAAATGTATGCAGCTGCCCACAGAGGCCAGAAGAGGGTGTGGGATGCTGTCAAACTGGAATTATAGGCTGATAAGAACCACCAGTGCTGGGAATCAAACTCCAGTTGTCTGCAAGAGCAACAAATGCTCTTAACTAATGAACCATCTCTCTAGTCCCTAGTTGTTTTTTTCAGACAGTCTCTATATAGCCCAGGCTGCCCCACAGAGATCCTTACAATCCTCCTGCCCCTAACTCCCAGAGTGCTGGGATTTAGAAGCCCATGCCACCACCTGAATTCTATTGACTTTAAAGCCCTTTCATGTCTCTCATCTTTTTGCACATGCATGTTTGTATACAATGTGTATAGACACAGCTATGTATTTGTGAGTGCAGGGTATGCATGCAATGCAAGTGTGCAGAGGACAACCTCGGGTTTTGGTCCTCATCTCCTACCTTGACTCCGGCTAGATAGTCCTTAAGTTACAAGGACTTTCCTACCTGTCTTCCCAGTAGATTACAGATACTAGTTCTACCCAGCAGCTTCCTTTTTAAAGATTTGATTATTTTATGTATGAGTGCTCTGTCTGCATGTACATATTTATGCCAGCAGAGGGCATCAGATCCCAGTAGAGACAGTTGTGAGCCACCATGTGGTTGCTGGGAATTGAACTCAGGACCTCTGGAAGAGCAGCCAGTGCTCTTAACCTCTGAGCCATCTCTCCAGTCCCTTTTACATGAGTTCTGGGGATTTGAATTCAAGCTCTGCCTCATGCCACATTAACTATATGGCAAGCATTTTTACCCTCTGAGCTATCTGCCTGTCCCACTTTGTCTCTAATCTTCCAGTATATTAACTCCTCCTACAGTCTGGGCAACTCCTTGGATTTACACTTGCAACAATGAGGCAATGGACACTGCTAGACATGGAGAGTGGTCTTTGGGATGACACCAGGAAGAGAGATGCACTGACTCCCATGGCCCCGCAGAAGCTGAGTGCTTGCTTCGTCATGCTCACCAGCCCTAGGTAGCTAAGGTCTTAGCCAAAGCTCTTCTGCTGTTTTAATTTACACTTCTTTAATTATCAGGGAGACTTGGCATCTGTTTGTATTGTTTTGTTTTTCAAGCAGGATTTTTCTGTTTAGCTCTGGCTACCCTAGAACTCACTTCAGTAAATCAGGCTGGACTCACCTCAGAGACTCACCTCCCTGTCTCACAGTGCTGGGGTTAAAGGTGTGCACCACCACTGCCCGGCGACGACTCAGCATTGCAGACACTGACAGTCATTGGATTTCCTCTGATGACTATGTTTCTCCTTGCCCGTTTTCTTACTCATTGTATCTCTATGATACCCAAGTATGTTTCTTGACACACAAACAAGGCATCCCTTGAAAGAGGCTAACACTTTTGTTCCCTCTAATTTCCAAGGTCCCCTGATGCCAGTTCTTAAGAACTGACAAAGGACAGCACCTGGGAGATTCATGGAATAGAATGGAATAGTCAAGGACAGACTGGGACACACAGCGAGGCTGTGGCTCAGAAGGAACAGGAAGGGAAAAGGAAAGGAAAGAAAGGCCTATCTATAGCTGTTGCCCTCGGGTGTGTCACTCAGGCTCCTGCCATTTACACTCCCCAAAACATTCCACTCTGACACCTCAAGTAGCCGAGGTGGCGTTCCCTCACTTTATAACCGAGGGTGAGAGACCTCACGTAGCCGAGGTGGCGTTCCCTCACTTTATAACCGAGGATGAGACTGGGACAAGCAATGACCTAAGGCTGCACAGCTACAAAGGGCAGAGTTGGGCCCTGAAGTAGGCTCAGACCACAAAGTCTGGGAATCGAACTCAGGACCTCTAGAAGAGCAGTCAGTGCTCTCAACTTCTGAACCATCTCTCCAGGCCCTTATTTTATTTTTTTAAGATTTTGTGATACAGGTTTTCTCTGTGTAGCCCTGGCGGTGCTGAAACTCACTCTGTAGACAAAGCTAGTCTCAAACTCAGAGATTAGAGTGCTGGGATTAAAGGTATGTGCCACCAGTACCCAGCAAAATGAATTTGTTTAGTTTTTTTTTTTTTTTCAAAACAGGGTTTCTTGGAGCATACCCTTGGAGCCTGTCCTGGAACTCGCTCTGTAGACCAGGCTGGCCTGAAACTCAGAGACCTGCCTGCCTCTGCCTCCCAAGTGCTGGAATTAAAGACGTACACCACCAACACCCGGCATGAATTTGTTTAAAAAAGAAAATTGAAGGCTAGCCTATGTTACACTGAAAACTAAGTCTACACAAGACCCATTTCAAAGCAAAACCAGAACCAAGGACTTGGCTTGTCTTCACAGCATTTAAGACAGAAACACAAAGTTTAAGGTTATACTTCAGAAGGTTATACCCAGAAGACCCTGCCTTAAACCCAAAGGCAAATAAAAGCTGAGAGTAGTGGCACCCACTTGTAATCAGGATTTCAAGGCTAGCCTGGGTCTACACTGTGAAGTCCAAGCCAGCAAGGGCTACTGAGTGAACACCTATATCAAAAAAATAAAAAAATCTTTCTCTGCTTCCCAAAAGAGAAAAAAGCAATAACTATAGTCTTTTTGAAAGTGTCACATTCCTCCAAGAAAAGAAGCAGTTAGCTACAATTTAACAGGCACTTGTCACATGCCAGGAAAGATGTCAGTCTTTATCCATAAATTCTCTCATCTTTGCATAATCCCAAAAGGATGATGTTCTTCCCATTTTATAGAAGAAAAACTGAGGTATGAATTACCTGACTGAGATCACCAAGCCAGAAATTAAAGAGGTATAACTATTTTAGAGACAAATTTGGTTATAACTAGAAGCATTAATAGAAACATTCTAGACTTTTCATATAACTATGTTTGAGAAAGGTTCTCATTATGTAACTTGGAAATCACTATGCAGCCCAAGCTAGGCACAAACTTGGCAGCCCTCCAGCCTCTGCCTCTCAGAACTATGCTGTCATGCACACTCGGAAACTTCCAAGCACAGCAGAGTGACAGACATCAATACAATTAGGCAGAAATAGAGTGACAATTCAAGAGTTCATCAACAGAATGGGTCCATTACAATGAGAATATAGCAACAAAAATCCATGTTAGGCCTGAAGGAGAAAAGTGATGTCTGAAAGCTATGAGTCAGACACCGTGGCTGACCGCTGCAATCCCAGCACTTTAGAGGCTGAGGCAGGAGGACTACAACAGTTTGAGGCCAAAGATGAGTTCCAGGCAAGCCTGAGCTATACACAGAATGAGACCCTTGTTTCAACATGGTATACACACACACATGCAGGCAAAACACCCATACACAGAAAAGAAAATAAAAATAAAAACAAAAAGATAGTTTCCCTCTGAGAAGACTATCACAAATGGAAGTACAAGGGACTTGACATTGGAAGTTGGACAGGGATTATAGCATATTTTTATTATTGCATGTGTGTGCGCGTATGTGTGTCTGTGTGAAACAAACAGAAACCATAGGTGTTATCAGTCTTCTCAGGAACGTTCACTGGGTAACTCAGTGTAGATGCATGTACCATCACCACAATCCCCAGAACTATGGGGAAACATGGATATTTGCTAACCTAGCAGTATTTCTCACTCCAAGGCTCAGAGTCAACCCTACTGGAGAACCACTGAAGAATGAGTGTGTACACAGTGCACAATCAAGACACCCATCAGCAGTCTTGTAGGGATGGGGATGGGGGGTTAACGGGCAAGGACTCAAACTTTCAGTTCCAGGGCTGGAGGACGGTTCAGCAGTTAAGAGTGCACACTGCTCTTACATAGGTCCTGAGTTCAGTTCCCACCACCTACACAGCAGCTCACAAACTTCCTGGAACTCTAAGGGAGTTGATGCCCTCTTCTAGTCTCTGCAGGATTGCGTGTGCGTACACACAGCAACGAACGAATGAACACACACACACACACACACACACACACACACACACACACACACGAGCTACAAAACAGTAAGTTCAAGAGACCCACCATACAACATAATGACTCTGGTTAATAACATATTATAAAAAAAGTTGAAAGTAGCTTCTAAGTATTGTTACCACACAAATGAAATATATATTCTACATAAATTAATCATCTTGATTTCATATAAATACACCTATCACAAAACAGTAATGCTGGGGCCAGGGTATGGCTGCCTAGGCCTGGGATCACAAGCGCTCAGGAAGAATAGGTAGTATGACAACCGTGAGTCCCAGGCCAGCTACGAAATGAGACACCCACCTCCACTCAAAAAGACTACTGTGCTACTGTCTCTCTCCTGTTCTCTTAAAGTCCATATTTAAGGACTGGGCATGGTGGCACACACCTTTAGTCCCAGTACTAGGGAGGCAGAGGCAGAGGATGAGGAAGGAGATCTCTGTGAGTTTAAGGCCAGCCTGGTCTACAAAAGAGTTCCAGGAATGTCGCAGACAGGTGTAGGGCTCTCAACTCTTCTAGGACTTGGGAGGTGGACACAGAAGGATCAAGACTTCAAGGCTGATTAGCCTGGGCTAGGTAAGACCCCTCTGAGAAAAAAATAAATAAGAGGCCTGAAAACTGACTCAGCAGGTGACGGTGCTTGCTATGACTATATAAGCCTAGTGACCCAAGTTTGATTCTTGGAATCCACATAAAGGTAAAAGAACCAACTCCACAAAAGTATCTTCTCATCTCCTTGTTTACTATAGTATGCACACACAAAATACCTATTTTTCTGTGGCACCATGAATTAAACCTAGGACCTCCATGTGACAGGCAAAGCCTCCAACACTGAGCAACATCCCAGCTCCCTCCCCCACCTTGCTTTTTTTTTTTTTTTTTTTTAGAAACAGGGCTTCTCTGTGTAGCCCTACCTTTCCTGGAACTTGCTCTGTAGACCAGGCTGGCCTTGAACTCTGAGATCTGCCTGTCTCTACCTTCCATGGGCTGGGATTAAAAGTGTGTACCACCACTACCCAGCTTTCCTGACCCTTTAAAAATGTTTATTTGCAATACAGTCTTGCTATGTAGACCAAGTGCCACCCCCCTCCCCAATTTTTGGATGTCCACCAATAGACATTTTCCACCTAACATAAAATGCATTCAGAGGCAGATGTAGTGGCTCCACCTTTAACTCTAGCATTTGAAAAGCTGAGTCTGGAAGACTGCAAGCTTGTGATCCAAGGAAAAAAAAGAGAGGAAGGAGGAGAGAAGAAAAAGAGGAAGAGGGGGACAGGAAACCTCAGGTCTAGGTCTTCCCTGTGCCTACCCCCAGAAGTGGCTTCAAGACCAGCTGAGACACATGACTTCCCTGACTTGCTCCCTGGTCCTTTCAGGCAAGGTCTCACAGGGTTGTTTAGAGACAACCAAGCCGGGTTCAAACTGGGCAGGGAGGAAGGAGAGGAGCACACGGGAGCTGCCCCAGGTCAGGTACTCACCTCTTTGGAGTGCTGTTCCCTCAGCAGATCTCGGAGGGTGCGGTTGGTTTCTTCAAAGGTGCTCAGTTTCTGCAGGAGAAGTTCCTTCTGCCTCGTTAAGGTGTTGATGTCAGTGCAAGTCATCTGTTTCTCCTGGGGGAGAAGCACGTGTTATGCAGCTCAGGGGAAGGCAGGCCTATGCAAGAGTTACACAGCAGGGGAGACAGGCCCACAAGTGCCAGGAAACTCAGACAAGAGAGCTGAGGCACAGGGGTCAAAGGCAGGTCTCCTGGAAGTGGGCCTGGGGAAGGGGAGAGGTGGGGAGGGGGGGTGCTGTGGGAGTATGGTAAGGGTAGGATTCCTGCAGGAGGCAAGAGAGAATCAACCACATGCAGGAATCAACCACATGCCTTGACTCACTGTGATCCCAAGTGGCCCATGATTTGGTCTCCTTAGATGCCCTGATCAACAGAGGTCATCTTCAAGGACCAAGGCCCAGGAAGTGAGAGTGGGGGGTTGGGACTGAGCAGTCAGTTGTGCCCTCCCCCAGCCTGGAGATGTCATAAAGTCAGCCTGATGACTGCGTAAAGCCCCCACCCTGCCCCCACCCACCACCGTCCTAGGGCTCCACCTACGGTTTTCAGCTTCCCGATGGTATCCTTCAAGGCCATGACTTGCTTGGCGGCAGCTGCTCCATCCATTTCAGCCTCCACCAATTTGGACATGAGGCACTCCTTCTCCTGCTGAAGATGTTTCTTCTGAAGCCTGGGGCCAGAAAAATAGGCTTGGTGAGCGGTGGCAGGGCCCAGCCTGCCCAGAGCTCTGAGCTACCTCACAATGGCCTCAAAGACTCCCCTTCTGCCAGGAAACAATAAGGAAGGGGTGCAGGAAGCCATTTCTGCCCAGGTGGCCTTCTAGAAGTACGAGAACCAAGAGTCATATTTGCTCCAGTATCAAAACAGAGCCTCTACTGGAGCCAGCATGCCATAACCAATGACCTTGACTATCTCAAGACTGCCTCCATGTTCTTGAGCTCACTCATCCCTTCTCACCGCACTGTCAACTCTGCCTCTTTCAGTTTGGGTCTCCTGTAGCTGAGGATGGCTTCTGAACTTGCTATGTCACAGGAACTGGCCTTCAATTCTCAATCCTGGATCTACCTCCTGGTGCTGTGACTACAGGCAAATGCCACCATGCCTGGTCACTGCTCAGTTTTAAGTGTTCCCCACAACCTCAATGTGTTACCAACAGGCTAGAGGGGTCATGGCTCAAAGGTAAAGCATTGAGCATGTTCAGGCCTCGATTCTATTCAGAATTTTTATTCTGAAAAAAAAATAATAAATTCCAACTCTACATCCTGCCACCTCTGAGACCCTTGCCCTCCACAGCCTGTCTTAACCGACTTTCCATTGCCCAAGGCAAACGATGCCCACTCTGGGTCTCCCATTAAAGGTTCCCAGCATTTCATCTTCTAACGTCTACGTGTCTAACTCACAGTCCTGTCTTCCCTAAAACTCCTGTTTGAAGGAGTTCTCTATCCACAATACCACACTGGGTCCTCATTTTCCCCAGCTGTGCGCTACACTGAGCAGGCTCCCCACAGACTACCAGGGCTGCCTCCCTCCACTGGCTTCTTCTGGGTGGGCAGGAAGGGGTCAACCCGAAAGCAGCACCACACAGCCAGGACTCCTTACATGGTAAAGTCCTTCTCCTCCTTGATGCGCTCGATGTTGTGTCTGAGCACCGTGTTCTCATGCTCTGTCTCTGCCAGCTCATGAGCCACCTCCTCCAGCTCCTCCTTCCGCTCCTCCAGGAACCTTTTGGCCATTTGACGTTCGCCTTTCTGCATCTTGACCTTGGAATGGGGACACAGAAAAGAGCCACTGAAGGGACGGCTACATCTGACCCTTCTAAGAAGGGTGTTAGAGCTCTGTGCCTGAGGCCTTATGGGCATTGTCTCAGTGAATAGTCACAAAAACATTGGCTCTCCTCCAGACATACACTCCACCCAGTCTACACATGAAGAACCTGAGTAGTACAAAAGACACTGAGTGATGCGTGCTGGCCAGGGGTGGGGCCAGGCAGCAACAGTAGTACAGTTGGCATGCTGCAGGAGGAAAGATGTCACAAAAAAAGGACAGTGGCTATGGAGCAAGGATGGCCTGTTTGTCAGGAAGGGTGGCTCTCAGGACCTCCAGTGAGAGTTAAAGACACAGGCACCTCAGCAGTAAGGCTTTTAATGCCAGCCCCACCTGCTTCTGGTGGTGGTAGTGGGGGTCCTTGCATGGCGTGGGCTGTTTCCAGCTCCACTCCCCCTCCCCAGCTTTACCACCACAAGTGAAGACAGACTTCCTATATCTTCTCTGCTCTCATTCAGCTTTCTTTTCTTTTTTTCTTTTGGTTTTTGTTTTGTTTTTCGAGACAGGGTTTCTCTGTGGCTTTGGAGGCTGTCCTGGAACTCGCTTGGTAGACCAGGCTGGTCTCGAACTCACAGAGATCTGCCTGCCTCTGCCTCCCGAGTGCTGGGATTAAAGGCGTGGGCCACCAATCATTCAGCTTTTCCAAGCAGCAAAAGCTGGGCTCTGTTTTCCAGGCCCCAAGCCAAAGGAATGACACACTCCCATAACTGCAGCCCTCAGAAGACAGAAGAGGATAGCTCAAGTCAGAGCTACACAGTAAGACTGCCTCAAAACACAAGCAAAACAGGGGCTAACCCTGCCAGCTTCACTGACTACAGTAATCACCACTGGCCACCACTGAGAGCACCAGGAAAACTAAGTACTCCTGGAGAGCTCTCCAAGTATGAAGGAAACTCAAACTGCCCAGTGACCTCTCCAAATAGATGCCCTGGGAAGGCTTGCTGAGGAGGGACAGGAGAGCCACAGAGAGGCACCCTGAGGGAAGCATCACAGGCAAACCAACCTGCTTGGCCCGCCTGCTTGTTTCAGGTACTAGTTGTCTAGCCCACTAGCTTCATTACCTCAGATTTGAGACAACCGACCGCGTTCATTAGACTGTCAATCTTCTTATCGTAACGGTTCATTTTACAGTGACCTGAATCGTCGTCTTCTGTAGAGAGGTCACTTAATCGCATTACCGAGACCAGTTTTTCTGAAGATGGTGGTGTGATCTCCAGACAGTGAGGTGGATTCTGATGCAAAGGAGGGGAGAGACACATAAACAGCTGAGTTCAAGGCTCTGACAGAATTCCACTAATTATTTGTGCACTAGAGGCTTGCTGACTACCAAGGTAGCAGGCAGAGCAAACACAAGTCAATGGCCAACCCCTGAGATCTTGCCCAGGAACCAACCACTCCAGGCCCTCCTGAGGAGGAACATTACCTACCCAAGTCTAAATGATGCTTTTGAAGAATTTCTAACAAACATTGAAAGAAAAGGCACGGGTTAGAACATTAAGTTATAAGAAAGTAGGTTTGGGGGCCGTGTGCCTGAGCAGTTAGTTCCAGCCACTTGGAAAGCTGAGACCTCTGGGAAGATCACCTGAGCCTAAGAGTTTAAGACCAGGCAACATAGAGAGACAGAGACAGAGAGAGACATAGAGAAAGAGAGAAAGAGAAAAAGAGAGACAGAGAGACAGAGAGACAGAGAGAGAGAGAGAGAGAGAGAGAGAGAGAGAGAGAGAGAGAGAGAGAGAGAGAGAGAGAGAGAGAGATGTGGTGGCACATGCCTTTAATCCCAGGACTCAAGAGGTGGAGACAGGTGAATCTCTGAGTTTTAGGCCACCCTGGTCTACACAACAAGTTCCAGGACAGCCAGCCAAGTTACACAGAGAAACCCTGTCTCCCAAATTCCAAGGTGATGAATCTCTTCTGGCTTCCAAGACATACATATGGTGCTTTACATACACAGGCAAAAACATCCATAAAATAAAATTGAAAGAATAATGTTGGCTAGAGACATGGCTCAGCAGTTAAGAGTGTGTGCTATCCTGTAGACCAGAAATCTGTTCCTGGCATATCAGGTGATTCCCAACTGCCTGGAACCCACCCCAGGTCTAGGGAACCTGATGTACTCTGCTGGTCTCTATGAATATACATACTCGCATGTACAAACTCTGTAATCCCAGCACTCAGGAGGCAGAGGCAGGTGGATCTCTGTGAATTCAAGGCCAGCCTGGTCTACAGAGCAAATTCCAGGACAGCCTCCAAAACAATACAGAGAAACCCTGTCTCGTAAAACCAAAAAAAAAAAAAAAAAAAGAGTATTTGTTACTCCAAGCACCCATAGGGCTGCTCACACCTCTTTTTTTAACTCCAGTTCCAGGGGATCTGACACCGCTCTGGCTTCTGCTGGCACAGGATGTACATGGTATACAGACATAAATACAGGCAACACACACACACACACACACACACACACACACACACACACACACACACACACACACACACACACACACACACAATAGGCCGGGCAGTGGTGGTGCATGCCTATAATCGCAGCACTCGGGTAGCCCAGTCTACAGAGTGAGTTCCAGGACAGGCTCCTAAGCTACGGATAAACTCTGTCTCAAAAACAACAACAACTATATATATTATACACAGCTAGTTTCAGGACGTCCAGGGCTATCCAGAGAGACCCTATCTCAAAATGCCGTCTTCAAAAACACCAAACAAAAAACCCGAAATTCGTGCAGAGGGGAAAATATGACGGGAAATGACTGGTGAGTAATAGGGTGGCAGTGACAAGAACAGGCCAGAGGTAAGCTGGGCACGGTGGGCGGGACACATCAGTAACCTTGGCACTGAGGAGGCAGAGGCAGGCGGCTCTCTGGGAACTCAGGGCCAGCCTGGTCTACAGAGTGAGTTTCTAGGTCAGCTATGCACTAAAACCCTTTTTCAAAAAATTTTTAAAAGGGGGAAAAAAGGGCTGGAGAGATGGCTCAGCCGCTAAGAGCACTGGCTGGGGCTAGAGAGATGGCTCAGAGGTTAAGAGCACTGGCTGCTCTTCCAGAGGTCCTGAGTTCAATTCCCAGCAACCACATGGTGGCTCACAACCATCTACAATTCAATCTGGTGCCCTCTTCTGGTATGTAGGCAGAATACTGTGTATGTAATAAATAAATAAATCTTTAAAAAAAAAACATTAAAAAAAAAAAGAGCACTGGTTGCTCTTCCAGGGGTCCTGAGTTCAATTCCCAGCAACCACATGGTGGCTCACAACCATCTGTAATGAGATCTGGTGCCCTCTGCTGGCATGCAGGCAGAAGACTGTATATATAATAAATATTTTAATAAAAAAATAAATAAAAGGGGGAAAAAACTTAGATCCTCTTTCTCCCAAAGACAAATAATGGTGTGGAGGACCAAGCAAGGGAAGGCATGGAGCTCCGTGGCAGGCTGCATGCTTAGCTGAGTCCCGAGCATCACTGCCACCAAATCACACTGTACCTCAGGTGGGGCTGGAGAGGGAGGAGGCTCAGTGCTTAAGAGCACCTGTTATATCAATGTGGCTCACAACCATCTGATCCAAGGGACCCAATGCCTTCTTCTGACCTCTGTGACACCAGGCTCACACAGTACACAGTACACACACACACACACACACACACACACACACACACAGACACACACACACACGAAAGTAAAACACTCATGCATGAAAAATAAAATCAAAAACAAAAAGAAAGAAAGAAAGAAAACAGGAAAAACAGCTGCAGTTTGAATTCACTTCTCTGGGAAAATCTCTAGGATTAAGCTTTCAGGCAAAACATCAGGACTATTTCTCCCAGCAACCCACAGCTACAGGAAGCCAGTTTCCACTGTGTGTGTGTGTGTGCAGGTGAGAGGACAACTTTTTGAGGTTGGTTCTCGACATCTATCCCTCCATGACTTACAGGAATTTAACTCACATCACCAGGCTCAAATGGCAACACTAGCACTTTTATCCCGGAGTCAGTCACCAGTCACTCAGAGATAGAAGCGTTTCATTCCTTCCACCGTGTGGGTCCCAGGGACTGAATTCCCATAACCAGGAAAGCACTTTTGCCCACAGAGAATCCTGTTGGTCCCTTTTTTCCTTGTTTTTTAATACTGCAGTCTTAGTCCATCTAGTGCTAGAATTAGGAGGCATGAGCCACAAACCAGATTTAGCTGATGGTGAGTATAGATAGATCCAGGATGGCCTGACCTCTCAATATGGAGCCCAGAATGGCCTTAAACTCACGACAGTCTTCCTGCCTCATCCTTCTAAATGCTGACATTACACATGTCAGCTACAAAATCTGGCATTGTTTTTTTCCATTGACCCAGGGTCTATGTAGCCTGGGTTGGCCTCAAATACACAGCAATCTTCTTGCCTTGGCCCCTCAGGGCTTGGACTACAGACCCATCTCTCCAGCCCCCATAAGTGTAACTTTTAAAATATCTAGAAATAGGCTAGAGTTGCAGCTCAGCTGGTAGAGTGCTAAGCATGTATGAAGCCCTGGGTTCACTCCCCAGGACCACAAAAATCACATAAAAAGACGCAGTGGTTTGCCAGGCGTTGGTGGCACACTGGGTAATGGGACAGGCCTTTAATCCCAGCACTCTAGGAGGCAGAGGCAGGTGGATCTCTGTGAGTTCAAGGTCAACCTTGTCTAGAGAGCGTGTTCCAAGACAGCCAAGGCTACACAGAGAAACCCTGTCTCAAAGGAAAAAAAAAAATCCAGGCCCTGTGATACATGCCTATGACTCCAACTCTGGAGGGATAGAGACTAGAGGATCCCTACGGCTCAAGGGCCGGCCAGCCTTACCTACTTGCCAAGTTTTCAGGTTCAGTGAGACCGTGTCACAAAAAAACAAACAAGAAAAAACAAGTTGAAGATCTCCCAAGGAAAGATCCTTGAGGCTGTGCTCTCATTGCCATATGGACATGCATCTGCACATCATGCACACACATAGCTTTTTAATTTTTAAAAGGAGCAGAGCCAAGGGTGTGGTACAGGCCTTTAATCTCAGTATTAATGAGGCAGAGTGCAATGGATCTCTGGGAATGCAAGGCCAGCATAGTCTACATTGTGAGTTCCAGGACAGCCCTGTCTCAAAAAAAGAAAAGGGCTGAAGGCTGGGCAAAGTGGCACATGCCACTAATCTCAGCAAAGGATGATGGGTAATGGGACACACCTTAAATCCCAGCACTTTCTCTGTGAGTTTGAGGCCAACCTGGTCTACAGAGTGAGTTCCAGGACAGCCTCCAAAGCTGTGTGTGCCACCACTGCTCATCTTAAATCTTAAATTTTTAAAAGAAATTCAAAGTCATCCTCAACTACCTATCGAGTCTGAAGCCAGAATAAGCTACATTAGACTGTCTCAACAGCAAAAGGCCTTAAAAAGTTGATGACATAGGATAATTGCAATCTTTTACCTCCTTTCTGTTTTATTGTTTTTATTGTATTGCTTTTATTATTTTAGGTTTACTGATTTTCATGTTTTGCTTGCTTGTATGTCTGTACATGTGTGTGCCGTATGCCTGCAGAGGCCAGAAGAGGGCATCACATGAAACGGCTGGGACCTGACTCCCCTGGAGTCTTACAGAGAGCGCAGCAAAGATTGACTTAGGACATGAGTGGCCCTGTAGTTGCTGGGACTGAACCGGGTCTTCTGAAGAGTATTCAGTGATCTTAACCACTAAGCCACCTCCTCTGGTGCTTTAAACCCCTTTCCATTCAATAAAAATGGTACCGTGCTGCACTGATTCTAATTTCTTTATATTTTTGATTTTGAGACAAGGCCTCACTAAGTCTCAGTTGGCCTCTAACTCTTAACAATCTTCCTGCTTCAGCCTCCCAAGTGCTGGGATTACAGACATTCACCACATCTGGCACTTCTCTGTAAATCAAAGTTTCAAATTTACTTTTCAATGATTACATTAAGGTAGTAAAACAATGTTAAGGGACCATTTTTATTTCAATCTCTCTCTCTCTCTCTCTCTCTCTCTCTCTCTCTCTCTCTCTCTCTCTCTCTCGTTTTAAAGATTTATAGCCAGGTTGTGATGGTGGTGGTGATGGTGGTGGTGGTGCACACTTTTAATCCCAGGAGGCAGAGGCAGGCAGATCTCTGTGAGTTCGAGGCCAGCCTAGTCTACAAGAGTTCCAGGACAGGCTTCAAAGCTATACAGAGAAACCCTGTCTCAAAAAAAAAAAAAAAAAAAACGTCAGGTGCTGGTTAATTCCAGCACTAGAAAGGCAGAGGCAGGTGGATCTCTGTGAGTTTGAGACCAGCCTGATCTACAAGATCTAGTTCCAGGTCAGCCTCCAGAGCCACAGAGAAACCTTGCCTGGAAACCTCCCCCCCCCCAAAAAAAGTGAAAAAACAAAATTTATTTATTTAATATGTATAGTGTTCTGCCTACATGCATCCCTGCAGGCCAGCAGAGAGCACCAGATCTCATTACAAATGGTTGTGAGCCACCATGTGGTTCCTGGGAATTGACCTCAGGACCTCTGGAAGACCAGCCACTGCTCTTAACCTCTGAGCCATCTCTCCAACTCCTATTTCAACCTTTTTTGGGGGGAGCAGTATCTCTTATAGTGGCAATACTGAGGCACTGAACCCAGGACCTCACACATGCTAAGTATGCTATCAGTTAGTTGGCCCCACCCCCAAGCCAGAAATGCCCACCTTCCTTGTGTTCTTATGCTATTCACAACACTTTCCATGCATTCTTGAGGATACCCAGATTCCTCTTGTCTGCTGAGGATAACTAACAAATCAAAAAATCAAATCCATGTAGTGTGATTATGAATGTCAGAATTATATCCATTTTTGGGTTTCTCATTTTCAAGGTAACAACTATAAGAAAAAGACTGACTCTAAAAAATCAGGTTGAGCAGTTTTTTTGAAACAGGGTCTTGCCATGTAGCCCTGGCTGGTCTGGAATTTACTATGTAGACTAGGCTGGCCTCAAACTCAGAGATCAGCCTGCCTCTCCCTCACAGAGTGGTGAGTGTTGGGATTAAGGGTGTGAGGCACCACACCTGGCCTTCTGAGAGAGCATCATTCTGAAGCCTTTACCTCTACTGATAATGAGATTGTTGTTCAAAACAGTCAAAAGCTTTTTAGCCTTTGAGTTCTTTGCTGCAATGCACTTAAAACGAAGAATAAAGAAGTATGTCTTTCCAGGCTTAATAGCTAGAGCTCCTATGCTGGCAATGTCTGGTACAAGCCTAAGAGGAATGTACTGTGTATGAATCACTGGATGAACGGCTGAGTAGGGGTGGCTGATGTGGACCGATGGTTGGGGTGGGGGGATAGGTGGGTGGGTGGGTGGATGGATGGAAGAGTGGGTAGGTGGTTGAGCAGGTACATGGATAAATATTGTTAAGGTATAACTATGAGACACATATGCTCTACTACTGAAAGCAATCAGTTTCCCCCAGAGACTGTTCCAACCCCAGCGTGAATGAGATACTTACATCATCCATATGGCCACATTTTCTTAGCTATTTTGTATGTTGGTATATGTACATTTGCACACATACCCAATGCTTCAGGTACTATGACAGACACATAAATCTGTCTGGCAAAGCAGAGGCTGAATTCTAACTCTAGTTCTGCTGCTCTCTCTTGAAAGACTCCAGGGACATCAGTTCCCAGCTGTTTCATCTCTATGCTAGAACAGAGGACCTACCACAACGCTGCACGGACCTAAGTAGTGCTGTATGCTTTCAGGGTTTAGTAAGGCATTCAGTAAATGAGGCATATTAGAATTCCGGCAATCATACCAAGTTTGAGGCTTGCTAGACTCTCAATGACCAGTCCAAGAAGAGAAGCCTGAACAAGACTGAGCCTACCTCCCACTTGCATCCCACATGCCGGGCAGATGATTTTCCAGGGGGCATCCAAGGTACCTTGGTTTTCACCCGGACACTCCGCCGTACATTCACAGTGTCCCCTTTCATTCCGCGCTTATGAGATTTCTGTGGAAAGAGACAAAATTAGAGTCATCTCCAGGTCCAACTGCCCAGTACCCCTCTGATGGCATACACCAACTCTCCATGGACTCCTCTTCTGGGTAACTGTATTGCTGCCTACCTTCTAATCAGAAAAGCAAGAGAGTATCTCCCAAACCTTTGGAGTCAGAAGGGTGAGGAAGCTGGGCCAGGAGACAGCGCCCTGATCCACAGCTGTGACCTCACCCCACTGCCATGCTCCTACCTGGCTGGTGGCTGCTGACGGTTTCGGGAGTTTTTTTATGTGGACGTGGACAGGAGTGTTCTCATCCACGTGAACATGTAAGGGGGGAGTTGAAGATCGGTCCTTCATAGTTCACCTCTGGCAGGCAGGGCAGGGGAGGGCAACACAAAAAAGGTTGATCTGTGGATAAGTAAACTGGGCATGAAAACAAAGCTCGGAGGCTTCTGGGACACCTGAAAGCTCAGCCACCGAGTGAGCATGACAGCTACCAACTACCGGCATGCAGGCAGCAAGCAAGGCAGGAGTATCACTTAGGCAGACTCTGCTGAAGGTCTCCAGGTCCACTTGGGACAGGGTTCTCTAAAAGCCCAAAGGCAAGCCGCAGAGGGGTCCTCAGAGCTGCAGTTCCACCCAAGCCCACTGGCCTAGGCAGCTCCTTCTTGGACTTAGTGTAGCTCAGCTGCAAAGCTGCATCTTTCAATCAGGCATGCAAATTAGCATGGGAAACTGTACACAAAATGATTAAGGCATAGAATAAATCAGGACACATGCAAGTAAGACACTAGGGCATCGAAAGCTAGTGGGTATGCCAAGGGTAAGAAGGTTGTGTTGACTCTAAAGAAAACATGAGCAGGGTGGACCCCAGGTACAGGTACCTTGCCCACCAGCAGCTCCTATCCTGTCTCTTATTTTTTTTTTCTTTTTCTTCTTTAAAATATCTGTTCTAAAGATGTTGGAAGTCTACCAAGACAACCTCCTCACACCTGGCACTTTTATCAGCAAGCAGGCTATGCTTAACAGCTCTGTCCAGAACACCTGGGCCCTCACCGTATTGGCAGCCCCTAGCAAAGGCTTGCAGAAGTGTTTCTGATGGTGCTGTTGTGAGGGTCACCTACCGTCACAGTTACACTGGGTGCGCCACAAGGTGTTCTCAAGACCTTTTTCTGTGTGAGACTCGTTACTCCGTTCTTCCCACACGATGGAAACCTGCACCCGGGCACAAGAACCAGATTATAAGCAGAAAACCAGGGCTCTACTGTTTCCCAGCTCTGTGCATGTGGTGGCCTACTGGGTTGGCAGTCAGAAGAACCAGCCTCGAATCCCTTGGCTCCCTGTAGATGGGCACAAGGTACGCATGGTGCGCCCAGCAAGAGGATGGAAAACAAGGTGAAGGGTGTCTGCAAGTCTGGCCTTTTAACCTGCATCGCATCATATGTATTGTGACCTTGTGCTGAAAAGCCTACCTGTCATCCTACCAGGTAACAAAAAAAAAAAAAAAAAAAAAAAAAGCTGCCAAGGTAGTCTCAAACAAGTGGGGGGGGGTGGTCCCCAGGTCAGTGTCCGGAACACGGGTTCCTCTGGGGAAACGTTCAGTGAAAGGTCAACCTAAGAAACTAAGACATCTAGAGCACTCAACTCACCAACGAAGTGGCTGTGACTCAAGCTTTTAAAACAAAGGCTCACTCGTTTACCTGAGCACATGAAGAACCCACTTCCCAATGCCCCAATGCAGTGCACTCGCTGCCCTGCAAGAGCCCTGCCTGTACATGCACAAGACCAACAGGAGACAGCAGCAAATAGTGTGTCCACAATTAGCAGTCCACTCAAGAGTTCCAGGCTGCGGAAGAAGGCTCAGACCATCAAATCACCATACCCCACTGCCTCCTTGCAGTCCCCAGATAGCCTTTTGCCAACCTCACAAATTCTTGGGGGTATATTAAAACAGCAGCACCGCAGTGTGCATTTTCTCAGTTCACTTACAGCTATTTACTGAGCTGGACTGCCACTTGGAAGACTGTCCAAACTAGGAACTCAGTTTTTCCCCCCTTCTACTTACTTAAACATTTCTGCTCCCTCAGAGAAACTAGTTTAGAGGTGGCATGGTGGGAAAAGCTCAAGCCACCATATGGAAGGTAGAGAGAGGCAGAAGAATCAAGAGTTTGAGGACACCTTTGGTGACCTGGTAAATCCAAGCCAAGCTGGACTCAGATCTTGATACTCCACTGTTAAGACAAGAATGATCTTGTTTGCTCCTAGGAAGCTGGAGTGGCTTGGGGGTCAGGAGGGGATACAGTTGGGGTAGGGGGTAAGCCTGTGTGTCTTTACTGCTCACTATTCAAAGTCACTTTTAAGTGGTTTTGGTCCAGACTTTCAGTAACTGGGAAACTAAAAAAAAAAAACCGACGTTTCCATTGAGCCTAGCCTGGGGAGCCCTAACTACCTTTCCCTGCCCTACTGCAAAGGCGCCCCCCACATTGGCTGTACCTGGGGGAGCCGCCTGAGGATGAGGCAGACATGGCTAAGCATCAAAGCCGCAAAGGTGGGCAATTGGGTCGGCAGACTCTGCTCAGGGGACCCAGAGGGGCTTGCCAATGAGAATCTCAGGGGCCGGGCATCAAACGTCCTCTCTCTGAGGGGAGGAGGGTGGAAGCTTTGGGGGTGGCAGTTGGATGAAAACTTGGGAGGCGCTCCTCTACTGTCCAAGTCGCACAGCAACTGTCCTGCCAAAGTGGGGAGGAGGAAGACGGGAGAGGCTGAGCGACTTGCGGGATGCCGAGTGCGCTGCCAGGAGGCAGGTGGAGGGCAAGGCGGAACAGTAAGGGGGCGTCACTAAAAGGCGGACGACGACCAGCATGCCCAGGCCCCACCCGGGAAGGAGAGCGGGCCGATGGCTACCAGGGGTTAAACCTGAGGGCTGGCTGGCGTGCGAAGAAGGTGAGAACCGCTAGGCCCCAAGTGGGCCCCCCAGGGGCGGGAACCGGTGCAGGGAGCTGGAGGGATATTCGGGGCGGCACCCCGGCAACTGTCTCCTAGGTGAAGGGGCGTTCCCGGCAGAATAGCTACCGGGGAGACCCAATAGGTGGAGAAGGAGGAGCGGCGGCCAGGGAAGGTGATGGGCAGCGGGACAGCTCCAAGGCCGCCCGCATCTCGGGGTTGGCCGGGAGGGTCCCCGGAGGCCTGCCCACCCCGAGCACGCGTAACTGCTGCGGCCCAGTACGCAGGGAGCAGGGGTAGCCTCCGGGGAGGATGAGGCACACGGCCACCCACCAGCGGGCTAGAGGGAACGGGGTTCTGCCCATAGAAGGGCGCAGCCCTGCCCGAGGGCAGTAGAGGAGGGAAAAGAGCCTTCCCGACGGCCCGGAGAGGACGGAGGCGGCCGGCCCGCCCGTTAGCGGGAGGAGGACGGGCCCGCGCCCAACGAGGGGCGGGGCGGGCCGGGTTCGGACGCAGAAAGGAGCGCGCCTGGACGCGGGGACGATGCCCGGTCGAGCCAGCCCCCGGGCCGGAGGCGCGGGGCTTGAGCCCGGGTGCTCTGCTCCCCGCCCCGCCGCGCGGCCTCTCACCAAGAGCGGCACGGCTGCGCCCAGAACCTTCGCCTTATGAAGTCGTTGAAGTCGGAAGCCAGGGTCGTGCCATGGAGACGCCGCGGTGGATGCAGTCCGGCTCCCGCGGCGGCTCCTCCCCGCTTCCGCCTCCTTTTCCGACACCCGGTCGGCAGCTCGCCCATTGGCCAGTTCAAACCCCCCCGGGAGCCCCTCGGGTTTCGCCATTTAGGCCCAGCCCCCAGCGTCACAGAGATGCCCCGCCCCACGGGACGCTCCGCTCACTTCCGGGTCACGCGGCCGGCCCACCGCCCCGTCGCCTGGGAGACGCGCGACGCCTCCCGTGCAGGCCAGCCTGGTCTTGTCCCACCGTTCAGGGCCCCGCGCCCCCTCCGCCATTTTTGCCCTGGTCCTCCTGACTCCTGAGCCCTATGCGCTCTCCTTGACACACAGTAGGAAGCTGGGCGCAGAGGGGGATCACTGGACAGGCTGGGGTTAAAGCCATCCTTGTGCCTGGTACACTCAGTGCAGACAACACTGCCGGGGCTGTGCCCCTCTCCCACACCGCCCAAACAGAAGTGCCGCACTCCCCGCACCCCGCGCCTCCCTCTGGCACACCTCACGCCGCTTCTGTACCTACTCTGCTGAGATTCTCTCTCTGCTGAGTCGCCATCTTCCCAACTCTTTTTCCCTATTACCGTGAGGGACTGTCTCATGGCTCAGGTTGCCTCCCTGGATTCTGGGACTTTAACAAACTCAGAGTCCATGAAGACCTCTTTTCCTTGACACCAGTTCTGCTCCCATCAGCTCCTCCGTGGAGTGCGAACCTAAAGGACTTTCCCACCTGCATCCTCAGCTTTCTCTCGTAGTCACATTTGTTCCTCACCCCATGACGGTTCGTTTTGTGGGTGCAGCCTGGCCGGCCTGGAACTTGCTACCCTGGAGCAGGGATCCACCAGCCTCTGCCTGCTGAGTGCTTGCATTAAAGAAGTGCACCACCACACCCAGTCTTTTTTTATTATTTTAACGCCTGTAATCTCAGCAATGAAAGGCCGAGGCAGGAAGATTGCCATGAGTTGGCAGCCAGTCTGGATCCCTCAGTCATAACTTAACCCTACCATTCTGGGGCTCTGCAAGATCCAATCTACAGTTGCGGATAAGGGTAGAGTCCTGGCCTGATAGGAGCAAAACCCTAGATTCGAGTTTCAGTGCCAACACTCCACATATTGTCTCCGCACTGTGCAGCATGATCTTTGCCGTGATGATAATCTACTAAGCCTGTGAAAGCGTAAGTAAGCCCCAATCAAACGCTTTCTTTTATAAGAGCTGTCTTCTTGGTCATGGTGTCTCTACACAGCAATGGAACATTGACTAAGGCACCATACAACAGGAACGCCTTCCAATGGCTCCTTTCTCCCTGTGGGCCACCCTGAGATGAGAGTGCACTCAGCTCCCTTCTGTGCGTGCATGGGCCCAGCACACATGAACACTACATGTGGATCCATCACTACCTCACGCTGGGTGCTCTTTGCCATCTTCCTTTCCTGTAGAGCCGGGCATAAAACAGGTTCCCGTGGGTTTCAGATTAACACTCTAATAAATCAGGCAGTGGTGGCTATGCCTTTAATCCCAGCACTCAGGAGGGCAGAGGCAGGCTTATCTGTGCGTTTGGGGCCAGCCTGGTCTACAGAGTGAGTTCCAGGACAGCCAGAGCTACCCAGTGAGACCCTGTCTAAACCCAAGAATAAATAAATACATAAGTGCTAGTAAAGAAGGCAGAGAATGGCAGCTGACAGCCTGTTGCCTGAGTCAAGATGCAGCGCACTCAGCTCCAGCAGCGTGTGTGCCTGCGTGCTGCCACGCTCCCCTCCATGATCATAATGACTGAACTCTGAACTCGAGGCATCCAAGTGAGCATTCCAGGTCAGGAGACAGAATACCAGGAAGTCTGCTGTGAAATAGTCCCTCCTGGAAAGGGTCATATAAACAAGTTTGGAACCATGGCAATACCAAAAGTAATGTGGGGGGGGGATTTCACGGGGTCCCACCTCCGGACAATGACTGTTGGCAAAAGGAGAACCAGAGTCTCCCAGAGATGAACCACTTACTGGCCGGCCTTGAAATCATATGCACACAAGCAACAATTGTATGTATATGTACATGTATATGTATATGCTGAGAACGTGTTCTGCTCAGTGGCAGACCACAGAACAAGGCCAAGTGGGGCTGGAGAGATGGCTCTGCGGTTAAGAGCTGCTCTTCCAGAGGACCTGGGTTCAATTCTGGCACCCACATGGCAGCTCACAGCTGTCTATAACTCCTGTTCTAGGGGATCTGACACCCTCACACAGACATACATACAGGCAAAATAACAATATGCATAAATGTTTTTTTAAAAAAGAACAAGGCCAAGCAAGTGCAAACCCAGAACTGTAAGAAACAAAACAATAAAGAGCCAGTGAGAGAAGTCTGGGGAGAGGGCTCAGCAGCTAAAGCTCCCAAGTTTGCTTCCAGAACCTGCATGTCAGCTCACAACTCTTTATAACTCTAGTTCCAGGGGCTCAAACACCTTTTTCTGGCTTCTATGGGTACTGCATGCATATGGTGCACATACATGTAAGCATGAACAGTCCATCTTACGGCTACCTATGTTTACCTCAAGGAGTTGTTCTGGGCTGCAGTCCTGGCCCCAGCTACACAACTCTGTACTGAGGGACGTCTTTCGGTCCCCTTGGCTGAGGCCTCTCCGTTTACTCAAGGGCCTGATTAAGATGTCTCCATTCAGGAACACCTGCTCTGGGGCCCCAGTGCAACTGCCACAGCCTTGCCCTGGGGAGAGGGAATCAGTACTACAGAGTAGGCTGACTTTTTCTTCCGCTGCCTTCCAGTCCATGGAGGAGCTGGAAGAAACCCTCCCAGACCCTCAGGGTTTGGTCTTCTTGAATCCTCTGAACTGTCCCTCAGTGTCCTTGAGCCCTGGATGGCTGTTGAGCTCAGGGACGATACTAGAGTCAGAATGTGGTCCACGAACTAACAGCATAACAGCATCAGCAGCACCAGCGAACTTGTTAAAAACACAGATCAGTTGGGTGTAATGACACATGTCTTAATCCCAACACCCAGGAGGCAGGGTATTTGTGAGTTCAAGTCCAGCCTGGTCTACAAGAATGAGTTCTAAAACAGGCAATTCTTCCATGGAAAAAAACCTTGTCTTGAAAACAAAAAATAGGAGCTGGAGCGATGGCTCAGAGGATAAGAGCACAGGCTGCTCTTCCAGAGGACCTGAGTTCAATTTGCAGCAACCACATGGTGGCTCACAGCTATCTGTAATGAGATCTGGTGCCCTCTTCTGGTCTGCAGGCAGACACGCAGGCAGAACACTGTATATGTAATTGTATACAAAATAAATAAATCTTACAGAAAATAAAGAAAAAAAGGAAACAAAAAAAAAACCACAATTCAAAGCCACAGAGAAACCCTGTCTCAAAAAAAAATCCACAAATCCTCAGGTTTGAGTATGAGAACTAGGCTGGCCTTAAAGTTGAGATCCTCCTGCCTCTGCTGCCCAAGTACACTACCAGCCCTGATTTATATTTTTTTAAACACTGCGCAAATACAAGAAGGCCGGAGGAAGGAGTTAGATCCTCTGGAACTGAGAACTGCCATGTGGGTGCTGGAAACTGAACCCAGGCCCTGAGGATGAGCGGCCCACATTCTTGACTGCCGCCATCCACCCAGCCCCCATGTCAGGCTTGCGGTGGTTTACAGTGTTTTGTTGCCTTCAGTGCTGGTAATGGCCGACACCTCTGAGTAGTGGACAGGGGTTCCACACAGAGGCACCAGTCTCAGCCCCAAGGACTTCATCAGATTTCACAGGATGAATGAGAGGATGGAAAAGTCACTCACTCCCCATCACCCACCTCACCCTCAGCTCTGGCCCAGAGTTCTCAGAGCCATGGCAGGTTCTCACCCCAGGGCAGAGCCCTCTGGCAGCCCAGTCTCGGGGTTACCAGTGGACTTTGCCAGGGCTGGGTGCTCACATAACCCACGTCCAGAAGACGTGGTGGAAAGGGGGCGCCTCTGAAGCTGGGAGCCTGTTTGTGCTGGTAAGGGCGAAGGTAGCCATGGTCAACACCGGGAGTTCCCTCCTACTCAGTCTTCCAGCCAGCAAAGGACGAGCACCCGACAGCTGCTACGCCCAGAAACCTGGTCCTTTGCGACTGTGGAAGGAGGGAAGTCCCCACTTCCAAGGTAGAAGTGCACAGTGTGGAGCAGCCTATTACATCTCTGCTATCTCAGTGGGTTAACACCCTCCCTTTCCATTGTAGGTCCAGAGAAGCAAAGCATCCTGGCCCACCGGGTAAGCACTCTGCCACCTGGCGCCTTCTGGTGGCACTACTTCTTAGGGCCAGAACAGAACCCTGGATCTCCCCTGGGGCAAAGTTCTTGGCAGTCACAGGGCAGAAATCTGAAAGGCCGGAGTGGGGGTGACCCCTGGCTGGACCTTGACCAGGCCCAACCTGATGAACAACGGCTGATGGTGACAGGAGTGTCCACTCCCAAAGGGGAGATGGGTGCCCAGCAAGGAGGCAAGCGCCTGCCAGCTGGAGCCCTCCTCCCGTGCCCTCCCTCTCGGTCCCTAACTCAGAGGTCCTCCTGCCCAGGCCTGGTGCGAAGCAAAGAGGCTCAGCCGTTAGTGAAGTATAAAGTGCTAATGCAGAGGACTTTTATTGAAAGCCTACTGTGTGCCGCGCACCAGATGCGCCTCCCACCTTCCTGCACTTTTCTGCCAGCCAGGGAAGAGGGTGATAGTGAGTCCCAGATGTGCGGCCAGGGAGGCACTGAGGTGGAGGTAGATGGAGGCAACGTAGCCCCAGCAGCTGAGTCCTCAGAGAGGGCAGGAGTCTGGGGTCTGGTCTGGCCAGCTTAAAATCCAAAAGCTGAGGCCTCCCTTGTTCCTGAGCCTACTGGACTCGACAGCTGCAGGCAGAATCAAGAGTCTCCGAATCTCGTCTTTTCACCTTGTGACTTTCAGGGAAGGGATCCTGTCTCTGAGTGGCTCTCCCAACCTGGGATGGGTCTATAGGGTGGGAGAATGGCTGAGCCCAAGGCAGCAGTCAGGCTTCTGCTGGCTCTGCGGCTCCTGTCGACTCCCCCTCTCTGTTCTCGCTGCTCCTCTGGAGTTCCCACTCAGACCTTGTGGGCTAGGGCTTCAGGGGGCAAGAAGAAAGAAAAGGAAAGATCTGGAGTTAGACACAGACACCAGCCGCTGAGGAGACAGACAGACACAGAGACCACATGGAGACAAAAATCAGAGAGGAAGAGCTCGAGGTGGAGGAGCTAAGAAGCTGGAGAGCTGTGACACAGTTACGCCCAGGGCAGAAAGCCCAGGCCACAGACGGGTCCTCTTCGGGCCCAGCCTTACCTAGAGCTCATCCCTGGGATGAGGATGGAGGCTATATGCACTACTGCCAGCCAGGTGCGGGTGGGGGCCTCGAAGGGTCTTCTGAGAGCCGGTCCAGCTAATGAGGCGGCCACTGTCATCATCCCAGGGGGAGGATGTCTCTGTGTCACTGAGCCATTCAGCATCTCCTGCATAGTGGGTGGGGGAGGCAAGGAGAGGCCGGGCTGAGAAGGCTTGGAGGTCCCGAGGCCAGAAGTGTGCCTTGTACTGGTCACTGTGAGTGAGAAGAAGACAGCTTAGGTGGACCGAAATGACTCTCCTCCTAGACTCCATGATGCTAATCCAAAATGGGGGCCTCGACGGTCTGCAATGCCTCTGCCCTGCCCATTAGTCCTCACAGCTACTTGAGAAGTGGCACTTTAAATAATATCCCATGACAGGACCCTGAGGCTCAGTACAGGAACTATACTGAGTCATATGATTGAAAGCCACATGGGCAGGGGCTGGAGAGATGGCTCAGCCTTTAAGAGCCTTCGCTGCTTGTGCAGTGAACCAGCACCTACATCAAGCGGCTCTCTGCCTGTAATTCCAGCTACAGGGGGATCTGATGCCCTCTTCTGGCCTCCTTGAACACCTACACTCGTAAACACATACCCACACACAGATATACAAAATTAAAAATTAAAAAACAAGCTGGGCAGTGGTGGCACACACCTTTAATCCCAGCATGTGGGAGGCAGAGACAGGCAGATCTCTGTGAGTTTGAGGCCAGCCAGAGCGAGTTTCAGGACAGCCAAGGCTCTCACACAGAGAGAACCCCCCCCACACACACACAAAAGGCTAAAACCCACATGGAAATGGACAACACAGTGTTCACACCTAGCCAAGCCCGACACCTGGGCAACTTTGGAGTGGGTTCATCAAGGTCATGTGGGTGACCTTGACCATCTCCCTCTTTCCAGCTGCCTAGTAAGGGATTTTTGCAGTAGGCCCCTCGCTAGGATGACCCTGCCCTACCCCACCCAGGTCTTACTTTGGGTGCTGGTCAAACATGATGGGCAGGAATTCATCCACAGGCAGCATTCGTTGCAGAGGCTGGGAGGCTAACAGTTTGCGAGCACCTGCCAGGCTCAAGGTGTATGCCAGTGTCCAGTAGGAGTACCCAGCCACCACCAGACCAGGCAGACCCTCCACGGCCACCTCCTCCTCGGGGTTCACCTGCTTCCGTCCAAGGTAGCTGCAAACGACACCAAGGATGACAGGAGTCACTACAGAGCCTAGGATGTCCTGGCCTTCCAGTTATGCTAAGGCTGGGCTATGCAGCCGTGCTAGCTAGAATCCCAGAATAAGAAGCAGACCCCAGAGGCATATTCTTTCTCCCTTGCCCCTGAGAGGCAGTCTGCCTACATCAGGTCCCATGAGAGCTTCTGAGTCCCCACATCCTCCATTAGTCGTTCCAGCCGCCTCCGGAAGTTGTCCTCAAAGCGAACGTCATCCTCAAACACCACGACCCTGGCCAGGCCCCTGACAACCACCTGTGGTACACATGACAGGGGAAAGAACTCAAAGATCTGAGCCTCCCTGTTCCTACCTGCCTAGACTCAGGCCAGCAGACTCTTCCTGGCTAAGTGCCACATACCTAGCCCTGGCCACATTATGTAGCTACCCCAAAACCTGCTGGGGCTCCCACTGCCTGGGGACTGAAATCCATCTTGTTCTGGTATTCAAGGCCTCTGAGTTCCCACACCCGTGTCTAGCATCCGAGAGAACCATGGTGACAATCACAGGGCTTGCTACATTTACTGAAAACCATGCTCTCCCAGGAGCCATTGCTCAGCCTCACAGAAGCACAGGTTCTTGCTCTGCCATCTGAAGCTGGGGTGGGTAGGTGTGTGACAGAGTCCAACCTCTAAACTCACCAAGAAAAGCTACTTTTTATAACAGGAAAATGTGAAATCAGCTAGGTAAAGGGCCAACTGAGTCATCCCCTCAATTCGTTCACAGATGGTAAATAGAAACAAGATCACACGTGGGCACACTCTTTGGCAATGGGAGAAGGAAAAACAAGGCACACACTCACTGTCTCCTGGAGGGGGTGCCCTCGGGGACTCAATGCCCTCCAGTTAGCACTGCTGCCCCAGCCAGGACTGAAGCCAAGTCCCAACATGTACCAAACTGTCTTCCTGGCTCCCCTTCCCCCCGCCTGGAGGGATTCGCCCATATTCTCCTGCCTAGCAGGTTCTGCTCCCTGCCCTCTCTGCCCCCAAGGCAAGGTAGACTAACAGAACCATACACCTCTTCCACAAAATGCCTCCTCGGGTCCCTCTTCTGATTTCTGTCACCCTCTAGAGCCCCAAGTTGTCTCCCTCCTTTTATGTGTGTTCATATGCTTACATTTGGAGGCCAGGGGTCAATACTGGAATGTCTTTATATCATGACACCTTTTTTTTTTTTTTTAATTTTAAGACAGGGTTTCTCTGTGTATCCCTGGCTGTCCTGGAATTCTCTCTGTGGACCAGGCTGGCCTTGAACTCACAGAGGTCCACCTGCCTCTGCCTCCCGGGTGCTGGGATTAAAGGAAGCACCCACCTTATTTTTTAAGGCAGGGTGACTCACCGAACTTGAAGCTTTCCATTTCATCTAGACCGGCTTGCCAGGCAAACCCACAGGACCTGTCCCCCAGCACTGGGGTTGCAGAGGTGCCCTACTGCACCCAGCTCTTTGTGGGTCTTCCTGTTTCCCCAGCAAGCACTTGACCACTGAGCCATCTCCCCACCCACAGGATCTCTCCATTGCAGGCATGGGACAGACACGGTTTCTTTTCCCCTGGTTACCAGAGACAATAGAATAAGCAAGGTCACAAGGTCACCCACCTCTCAGGGGTGCCAGGGAAGTGCTGACCACAGAGAAGGTTCAGTGAACCTTCTTTTTGGATGCATTTATGCACTCAACCACTTGTGTGCCTGGCACACAGCAGTGACTGGGACAGCCAGCCTCTTGCTCTCCCCACAGGCGTGGTCCAGAGGGCAGGTATCCTCACCTCTTCCCAGATGGAGTAGTGGCTGAGGAAGCAGCCCACCTCACCCTTGGTCAGTGTGCGGCCCGAGTAGGGGTCCTGGTAGCCAGGGAGCAGGTCTACACCAAGGTGCTTAAGGATACTGCTGTTGAGAGTCCTATGAGACACAAGGTAAGTGTGTGACAAGTGTCAACCAGGGCCTCCATCCAGAGGGGCCTTGCCTGTACGTGTTGGAGAGAATCACACAGGACACTTGTTTAAAGGAGGATCCAGCTTTGTAACTCCTCCGTGTGACCTGAAGCTGCCACGAACCGGGCTCAGCCTCTAGCCTTAGAACTCTAGCCTCCTTAAGGAAGCCCCAGGAGGATGGACTTACAAAATCTGTGGCAGGGGAGGCACCCCGGGATGAGTGGACAACCTGTCAGAGATTTTCTGCACCAAGGCCCAATAAAGGGCAGACATCCCACAGGACAGCCAGGTATACTGGTGCAAGCTTTAATCCAAGCACTTGGGAGGCAAAGGCAGGCAGATCTTTGTGTGCCTCCAGGCCAAGCCCAGTCTACATGGTGAGTTCCCGGCCAGGCAGAGCTATGTGAGATCCTATATTGTGGGAGGGAGGGGGGGAAGGAGAGAGGAAGACCGACGAAAGAAGCAACTCCTGGTGCACCTGTGTCATCCCAGTTCCTGGGAGGTAGAAGCAGAGAGATGAGGAGTTCAATGTCATCCTCATTTCTACAGCAAGTTTAAGGCCAAACTTAGCTACATGAGACCCTGTCTCAAAAAAAAAAAAAAAAACAAGCTAAGGACCAGTAGGATGGTTCAGTGAGATACAGTGTTTGACCTGAAATCCTGAGAATGTGAATTCAATCCCCAGGTCCCACAGTGGAAGGAGATGACTCCTAAAACTTGCCCTCTGACCTCCACAGGAACGCTGTGACACGTGTCCGCCCTCATACACACAAATAAGCTTGAAATTTTTCTAAATAAATTCCTAAAAGAATAACAAGAGAATATGATCAAAGCATATTATTTATGTAAAATTGTGATATATATACATATATATATATATAATTTTTATGTATATGTGAGAAAAAAGACCTGGGTATTTGAAGCAGACAGCACTTGGCATATGGGTCACATGATTCTGGTAGCAGTTGTAGTTTGGCCTCTGGATCCCTGTGGAACACAGCCACATACACGAGCACACCACACTCTGGCCCCTCAGGTGCCCAACTCTCAAAACATGGAGAACATCCCTGAAGCTGCCTACCCCCTTGGAATACTTTACAGGCATTGGATCCTAAGCGTCTCACTGGACCCTTAGGGACCAAAAAAAGAAAGCATGAGTGTATGTCTTTTGTGAGTGAGGCTGAGGAATGGGACCTCGGTATGTGGCAGCCCTCAGCCCAGGTCCTGGAGTACCCTGTGCAGCACTCTCCTTCCTAAGGTGGGCTGGGGAGGATGTCTGTCCTGCTGGCCTATTCTGGCACTCCTGAGCCAGCAGGACTCAGGCCCTGTGTGGCCCCCTCGTGGGTCTTCGGGAAGGTCATTCTACTAGCCTGGTTGTCTACTCGTAGGACCTCAGATGGGTTTCACAGTCCCTGAGCCCCATCTGCGGGCGTCTCACCTGCCATCCACAGCATCTACCACCTGAGCAGAGATCTCCATCTCCCAGAGAGAGCTCAGCATCCGAGCCCGGCGCTGGGGTCTGCGGGCCAGGCTGATGACAAAGACCTAGAGGAAGCAGCGGTGAGCCTGGGGAGGGGCCGCTCACCCACCCTACCCCAGTCCCATCGGATGGAGACTTACTTCATCAAATCCCATCTTGTTGGGCTTCTTTTGGGGCCGAGACACATGATCTGAAGCCAGCATGGGGGGCCCATCCACTGTAAAAGGAAACAACACCCCCAACTTCCGGGTGTGAGTCCCTGCAGACACCCTGGAGTCCAGCCCCAGCTTCATTCCTATGACTCCAGCAGAACACCTGTCCAGATGGGCTCCCTGAGCTCCTACCCATTGTACAGATCAAAAGACCGAGGTACCGCAGGGAAAGGGGCATGCTGATTGTCATGACACAAGCTCAGAGCAAGGCTGGCACCCAAACATGCTTAAGTCTATGCCAAGGGAAGGCACACTGGGGGGAGGCGGGGCCCCAGGCCTCACCTAGTGCTTCCAGAATCAGGTGGATGAAGTTGGTCTTCTCCTCCTCCAGTCCCTGGTGGGGCTTCACCACCACATTCATGTACCCGTAGCGATGGTCATTGCACACATGCACCGAGACCCCTGCAGAGAGGCGCCCTGAGTGCTGGACTTGGGCTGTGTCTCTCAGTAGGCACTGCCCGTGACCCAAGTCTTATGTGGGACTCAGTTTTGTCACGGAGGTGAGGGCACCGGGCCATGTCTCCCGCAGTTTGCAGCTCACTTGTCCACACTCTGCAGGCTTCCCCAGAACCTTGTGGACAAGACAATCAGTACCCCTTCTGGGACACCAGTACCTTAAGGGCACCTGCTTGCTTGAGGACTTAATAGACACCTCTAACCCTCCCCGATCCTCAGCAAAGTTTTCCCATCACCAGATAGCCAGAGCCCTAGCCACACCTCAGTCTGAGCTCAAATTCCAGTGCTGCAACCTTCTCAAGCAGGGTGTCCAACATCATTGCCTTAATCTTATCTTTATCTCTTCCTTGGGATTGTTGGGTTTTTGTTTTTGTTTTTGGTAGGAGGAAGGCAGATTGAGATGGGGGTCCCATTTTGTAGTGTTGGCTGGCCTGGAACTTCCCATGTAGCCTAGACTGGCCTTGAACTCACAGAGATCTGGAGTGCTGGGATTAAAGGCATATGCCATCATACCCAGTGTTCTTAGGATTGGATTTATACCACTTATACCCAGACAATTCCTTTCTAAGTAACTTTCCTCTTAAAGATAATTACAGGGCAAGAGAGAAATGACTCAGCAAGCCGGGCGTTGGTGGCGCTCGCCTTTAATCCCAGCACTTGGGAGGCAGAGGCAGGCGGATCTCTGTGAGTTCGAGGCCAGCCTGGTCTACAAGAGCTAGTTCCAGGACAGCCTCCAAAGCTACAGAGAAACCCTGTCTCGAAAAACCAAAAAAAAAAAAAAAAAAAAAGAAAGAAAAAAGAAAAAAGAAATGACTCAGCAATTAAAAGCAGTTGCTGCTCTTACAGAAGACCTTAGTTTAGTTCACAGCTGCCATTAAGTCCAGTTCATGATGTCAGACACCCTCTTCTGGCCTCCTCAGGCACTGCACCCATGAAGTACATATACATACATGCAGACAGGCAAACACTCATGCACATAACATAAAAATAAATAATGCCAGGTGTAATGGTGTGCACCTTTAATCCCAGTCTTCAAAAGGCAGAGGCAGGCAGTGTTCTGAGTTTGAGGCCAGCCTGGTCTACACAGTGAGTTCCAGGACAGTCAGAGCTACATAAATAAATAATAAGTGATAAATCTTTAAAAAAACAACTCCACTGTGCATGTTGTGAGATGGCTCAGCAGGGACAGGTGCTTGTTACCAAGCCTAATGTCTTGAGTTTTATACCTGGAACCCACATGTTGAAAATAGAGAACCTGGACCTGGATAGGTAGCTCAGTCATTAAGAGCACTGGCTGCTCTTCTGAAGGACCTGGGTTCAATTCCCAGCACCCACATAGCAGCTCACAACTGTCTGTAACTCCAGTTACAGGGAACCTGACACCCTCACACAGACATACATGCAGGCAAAACACCAATGCACATAAAAATAAGACAGACAGATAGCTAGATGATGGATAGATAGATAGACAGACAGACATAATAAGAAAATAGAGAACCTATTGCCACAAGATGTTCTCTGATCTCCACACACTATGGCATGCATGTACTTCCCTCCCCCATAAAAAAGTGAATAAATATAAAAGTAAAAAATCGCTCACTAGCTGCAGAGGGTACTCTAGTTACTGCCTCGCCCTCTAGAGAGGAAGAATCTACTGAGGGACTGGAGAGATGACTCAGACCTTAGGAGACACACCGTTCCTGCAAAGGACCCAAGTTTGTGAGTGCAGTTCTCAGCACCCACGTCAAGTGGTTCACAGCCTCTCATTCCAGGAAATCCAGTGCCTCTGGCCTCTATGGGCACCTACACTCATGTGCACATACCTACACAGACACTACTAATTTTTTAACAATTAAAAAAAAACTAGCTGGGCAGTGGTGGCACAAACCTTTAATCTCAGCGTTTTGGAGGCAGAAGCAGACTGATTTCTGAATTCAAGATCAGCCTGATCTATAAAGGGAGTTCCAGCGCAAGGGCTATACAGAGAAATCTTGTCTTGAAAAACAAAGACAAACAAACAAAAAACCCTACCAAGTTGGCCATGGTAGTGCATGCCTTTAATCTTAGCACTTTGAAGACAGAGGTAGGTTGGTCTCTGTGAGTTTGAGGCCAGCCTGGTCTACCTAAATAATGAGTTACAGGCTAGCCAGGGATACATAGTGAGACCTTGTCTAAAAAGCCTACTGGCAAGTTGGGGGTGTGACTCAGTGGTAGAATGTATGCTTAACATACATCAAAAAATTAAACAGTAGGGTTGAGGAGCATAGCCTGTGGGTACAGCTCTTGCCTAGTATGCTTAGGCCCTGGGTTCCATCCCCAACACTACATTACACACACACACACACACACACACACACACACACACACACACACACACTACACCCTCACACAGACATACATGCAGGCAAAACACACATACACACTACTACACACATACTACACACTAAACATACACACACGCACATACACACACAGACAAATACATAAATTAAATAAAAAAATCAGTATCAGGGCTGAGGGGATGGCTCAACGCTTGTAGACCTGAGTTTGAATCTAATGTAAAAACAAAACAAAACAAAACAAGACCCTAAATGTGTGCATGCCTGCAACCCCAGCTGGAGCTAGGAGTTGGACAGGACTGTTGGGGCTTAATGGCCACCAGCTTAGCTGCAGGTTCTGTGGGAGACCCTGTGTCAAAGGAGTAAGGGGGGAGTGACGGAGCAGGACACACCCACACCAGTGTGATCTCACCTGCAAATGTGATCATGTGACCCTCTGAAGGCACACAGCACAGACAGTTGAAGACCAGGCGTGTGTCCACCAGGTGCCCAAGGCTGGCCTCGTCTACTTCCCTGCCTTACCTGTGCTGTGCACCTCCACTGGGCCCCAGTCACTTGCCTTCTTATGCTCCTCCTATCATGGGGCCGTTGCATATGCCCGCCTCTCCACTTTAAGATACTTTTCCCTGGGGCTGCAGAGTTGGTTCAGTGGTTGAGAGCACTTGCTGTTCTTACAAAGGACCCAGGTTCAATTCCCAGCACCCACCACCACCTCAGGCACCATGCAGGCATATGGTACACAGACAGACTTGCAGGCAATACACCCATATTCACAAAATAAAACAAATCTTAAAAAAAAAAAGGCCGGGCATTGGTGGCACACGCCTTTAATCCCAGCACTCCGGAGGCAGAGGCAGGTGGATCTCTGTGAGTTCGAGACCAGCATGGACTACCAAGTGAGTTCCAGGACAGCCTCCAAAGCCACAGAGAAACCCTGTCTCGAAAAAAAAAAAAAACCCCCCAAAAAAAAAAGAAAGAAAGAAAGAAAATGCTTTTTCTTGCTGTTTTCTTTGTTATTTCCCTGCCCACACTTAAGATCTCAGCCTAAGAGTTCTCTTCTTTTCTGAGGTCTTCTCTGACTAAATCCACTCTGACCTGGGCTCCTGGAACACCTATAATCAAGGCCTCCTTCCTGTCAGTCACAACTGGACACTCATCTGTGAGGTCCTCTGACTGACTGGACTGCAGGCTCCAGGACAGCCTCACGACCACTGTCTCCTTAGCGCCTGTCACACAGTAGGTGTTCCATAAATAAATATGTTCCCCGTGAAGCAATATCTGAAAGTACCAAAATGGGGAGAGCCAGAAGCCTATCTCCTCCACTCGTCAGCGGATTTAAGAAAGGTCCAGCAGGAGCTGACAGGATGAATTGTGGGGTGGAAAGGGAATGCTAAGTAGGGAGAAGCAGCCGGTGCGAAGGCCCGGGGGCCTCCAAGGAATGCTCAAGGAGGCCTGGTCCTCACCAGCAGCCTGGCAGGCGTAGGCGAAGACAATGATGTCATCAAAAGGCCACGTATAGTTGGGATGGGGTGGGTAGAAGGCGAGCTGGGCTGTCTCTTCAGTCTTCAAGGACACCAGGAAGGTGGAGTGGACCATTGGGACCCGGAAGCAGCCCTGGCGCTGGCGGTTCTTGGTAGGGAAGTATTCAGCTGTGCGGCGATAGTAGCCCTGAAGGGAGGAATGTTTGGGGCTGAGGCCAGGCCTCTGCTGGCCCAAAGGCCCCGAGGCTCAGTGCTGAGTCCGTCCTCCCAGCCTCACCTGGGGAGTGATCCCGCACCAGAAGTTGGAGTAATAGGTCTGGGAGTCCAGCATGGGGGCCACCACCGGCAGCTGCCGCTCTGTGAGAAGCCGCAGCGTCTGGTTGTTGGTGAGAATGTTGTCTGTGTCTGCAAACTTTGGAGAAGGAGGATGTAACAAGGAATCCTGTCGGAGCCTCAGGACCAAAGAGCTCACTGAGTGGGAACTCCTTCAGAGTGGCTCTGGGCGCTTGCATCCACAGGGAAACCTAACTGGGACCAGAGAGGTGGCTAGAGAGGTAAGGCCCTACCAAGCCTGACAACCTGAGTTCAACCTCGGACACACACAGCAGAAGGAAGGAACCAACTCCTGAAAGCTGTCCCCTGACATCCATAGCATGGTGTGCGCACATTGACACACACACACACACAGGATACAAATAAATGATGTGGGGGTCCCAACCATCACAGTCCATTCTGACCAGAGGCCGTTCTGAGATGCTGGCTTGGAGCAGACTAGGTAGCAGCTCTGAGAATCTCATCTGAGATCTAAATCAGAGGGTATGTCTGAGGGGACTGGAGAGATGGCTCAGTGGTTAGATGCACTACTGGATCTTCCAGAGGACCCAAGTTTGAAGCCCATCAGTCATATGGTGGCTCACTACTGAGTGTAGCTCCATTGTCATATGGTGGCTCACTACTGAGTGTAGCTCCATTGCCAGGGGGTCTGAGGTCTTCTGGCCTCTGTGAGCACTGCATACATACGACATACAGACATACACGCAGGCAAAACACCCACTTTCATAAAACAAAAATAAGCCCATGGCAGTGGTGGCACACAACTTTAATCCCAGCACTCAGGAGGTAGAGGCAAGTGGATCTCTGAGTTCAAGGGAAGGTACAGAGTGAGTTCTAGGACAGCCAGGGTTACACAGAGAAACCCTGTCTTGAAAAACCAAATAAATATTTTTAAAAATATACTCTGCACTCTAGTCCTGTGATTTGGTTTATACTCTAAGCAAAAGTCCAGGAATCTAGGCACAACATGTAACCTCATATCTGTCCAAGGATCCAGGTTTAGTGCCTAGTATGCAAGGAGCCAATACAGGGTCTCAGCTCAATCTAAAAAGATCCAGCCTGTGGTTTGGTCATAACCAAGACTTCTGTTGGGGACTGATACCAATGCCTCCCACCTAACCCCAGACCAGACTTCCTCACCAGGATGTAGTCAGCTCCCCAGGTCCTGGCAAAGGTCAGAGCCTCCTGCTTCAGCTCCATTAAAAACTGATGCCTTTCTTTGGTCCAGTGTTTGGGGCTCTGTTCATCTGGGTAGGGCCTGAGGGGGGAAGAGGTTGGATTCTCTTTTAGGAACCTCTCCCTCTCAGCAGGGCCGTGGACACAGCCCTGCTCTGCTCTGGGGGCTGTAACCCCGGGTAACAGCTCTTCTCCATCTCTTCCAACACCCTTGCCCTCAGGTTACTACCTGGCCTCCTTCTCAGGCTTCCAGACCACGGCTGCGTAGTCACGGCCCACGGCAGCCAGCCACTCCCGCAACATCTCTGTGGTGTTGTCCACGTTGTGATCGGTGGCACACCTGTGGGCACAGGGTAGCAAGATTGAGAGACCACAGCCACAGAAGGGCTGCACCCCCCCCAGGTGCCCTGGGAACCCTCAAGTCTAGTCTGTCCTGAGAGCAATGGAGGAGCTAGAGGAGGTGCTGTGTGATCTCAGGCAAGTCCCTCCCCTCTCTGTGCCTCACATCCTCCCTTCTGACTCTGGGCACTGTCCTGGGGGATCGGGAGCAAGCCCTCGACGGTCGAGCCACATCCTTGGCCTGGGTGCACTGTGAAAGACGCACTTGACCTGAAGGGTTGTACCTGCTGCGTCCGTCCCCTCGATTTCTTCCATCTTCATGGCACCACAAGCCAGGCCCGTCCCATCTCTGAATTGAACAAGAGTCACTGCCTTTCCCTACCCTGAGCTGTAATTAGGACTCCACCGTGCTCTGAGCACCCTGAGAAGTTCTAAAGGCCGGAGCCCTGTTACCATGGAGAACGGCTTTCTCTCTGCTGGGGAAGGGGCTCTTATAAAGGAGGTGGGAGGCCTAGCCAAGAGCCAGGTTTTAGATGATGCTGCCCCTTTAAACCAATTCCCCAGAAGTGAAAACTATCTACGTGTCAAGTCCTACAAGGGTGGGAACTAATTCCCAAACTGTGGTGACTGTGGGCAGCCTGGCCAGGTCACAGCTCCACCCCAAGCCCAACTTTGGTGTGCTGCGAGGAGCAGTTTATCTCCAGTCTCAGCTTGGGCTCCTCCCTGTTTAGGCTTTTATAGACAGGCTGCTGTAGCCAGGGAGCTCCGGCCAGCGACCTATGGGACTGAAACCACCAGCCACTCTACCCAGAGAGGCTGGCGGTACTCCTGACGAGGGGACTCAGCCTGATGCCCCTGTCCAGCACGCAGCCTGGAGCTGAGGGCTCCCTCCACCTGCTCCCTAGAAACTTCCAGTCTGACTGATCCTTACTACATTGGGTCCCTGGGGATTCCAGAAGTTTCTACTCTGTTCTACTCCAAATCAAGTTGACCACAGGTCTCCACCGTGATGCAAAGCGAGCTCCAAGAGCCGGGTAGGAAAGGACAGGCCTAACTTAAACACAGAGTAAGCCCGGGAGGAGTAGGGGCCCAAAGGAGGAGTGGGTGTCCTTGGGCTGACCCAAGGCCTCAGAGGTCTGCCCTTGCCCCTAGAGGGCTTAGGGACCCTGCTGAAGGGCTTGAGGCCCTACAGGCATGTCTGGGAGGGAGGAGCTTGCCCGGGTGGTGTCTGGACAGGAGCGATGAGGCCTCCAGGCTGTCCTGGATCCTGGGGTTTGATGCCCAGATGTGCCCACCCATGGATCTCTCACCAGAGGGCCAGCCTGGCCCGGGGGGTAATCCAGACGCTCCAGTGCGCCCAGGTAGTGGGGCAGAGAGTGTTCGGCATTGCGGGCCAGGATAGCAAGGACCACAGTGGGCAGCGTTGACTCCGTGACACCCGCAGCCTGGAGCCGGCGCCCCAGCAGGAGCAGCAGAGGTAGGAGCGAGAAAACATTCATGGCGGGACTCGTGGCTGTGGAGGCCCCCGGGTCTCCCACCGCGGCAGGGAGGGGGGTGGGACGGGCGGGGCATGGAGGCGGGGTCTCTGAGGGGCGTGGCTACAGCAGTGGGGCCCCCGTGACCCTCGCGGATGCCCGCACGCTCTGCTGCCCTCTTCTCAACCCAGGTCCTAGATGTCCAGGGCCAGACACCTGCTCCAGACGTCCCGGGCTGCCCTCTCTGTGTGGACCTCAAAAGGCAACGGCAAGGAAGGGAAGATCCGGGGGCAATGGTGGACCGCTCGCACCCTGGACGTTCATCTCACTCCTGGAATTCGGGCACCCCGGAATCCCGGCTCCCTGACCCTCAGCCGTAGCTGTAGACCCGCTGCCGGCTTGGCGGGGAGCCTCGGCTCCCGACCCCTGCTCCGTCTGTGGCGCCCTCTGGCGGCCCCATGCGGGAACTCCACATACCCTCCAGATGACGCGACCGACTGGAGGGCAAGCCCCGGTTTGGGGCGGGGACCGGGTGCCGCTGATATGAGCGCGTACGTGTCCTCTCTTCATCTTCCAAGATCCGGCCCTTAAAGAAAGCAGAGCCCACTCAGACTGAGTGTAGGACTTGGAGGCCACCACAGAAGCCCTGATGGTGACCCAGCCCTCCTCCAAAATAGGAGATACAACCTCCTCTGGGATAGAGTGAGTATTAGGATCCTGTTGGGGTGAAAAGAAATCTCCAACCTTTCTTGGGGTGGGGGGCATAGGGAGCTCCAAAAGTTCCAGCTGGGTATCTGTCACCAGCCTAAGACAGTCACTTTCCCTGAGTCTCCTGATCCTCACAGGCTGAGAATTAATGCATTTGGGGCTCTCTGTGTCTCATTTTCTGCATGGAGCCTGAGCTAGGTTGGAAGAGCACACACACACCTCCACTTGAATGGTCTGCTTCTCACGGTTCTCCTTCAGCCTTCTCTGGACATTAGGGAAGGTGCACTCTAGGCTGGGGCTCACGATCTCCACTGACCCGATGGGAGGAGTAGGTTCGATAAAGAAAGGGTTTACCTGATGATGAACAGAATCCTGGGGGCTGAATGCTGAAGTAAGATCTCTAGTGTAGCGGGGTGTTGGTGGCGCATGCCTTTAATCCCAGCACTCGGAACACAGAGGCAGGCAGATCTCTGTGAGTTCAAGACCGGCCTGGTCTACCGAGCGAGTTCCAGGACAGGCTCCACAATACAGAGAAACCCTGTCTCAAAAAAAAAAAAAAAATAGCAACAACAACAACAAAACACCTCTAGCTTAGCTTTGGTCTCAGCTTCCTGTTGGGCTCAGGAAGCCAGAGTCCTCCCTCTTGCTTGCCAGCCTCTGCCCAAGGCATCCCCATTCCCCAAAGGAGGGTTCTCCCTAAAGCTGCCCCATCCTACACATCTAGAGCCTCTGCCCAGTGTATTAGTGATAGGGGTGCTGTGACCAGAGTGTGCCCGCCAACACTCAAATGCTGAAACCTAATCAACAATGCCATGGGACTAAGAAGACAGGAGGGGCTGGTCAGATGGCTCAGGGGTTAAGAGCGCTGACTGCTCTTAACAAAGGACCAATTCCCAGCACCCGTATGGCAGCTAACAACTGTCTGAGCTGTCTGTAATTCCAGTTCCAGGGGATCTAAAGCCTGGCTTCCTCAGGCACTAGGCATGCACATAGTGCACAGACTTACACGAAGGCAAAACAACAATGCACATTTTTTTAAAAAAAGTAAAAGCATTAATAATTTAAAAGAAGAAGAGAGGAAGAGCTGAGTCTGGTGGATGACACTTGCAATTATAGCACCAAGGAGCCTGAGGCAGGAGGATGACCAGCCTGGGCTAAATTAAGACTGTCTCAAAAATGATCACTAAAAAGTGGGGCTGAAGAGTTGGGCATTGGTGGCACACGCCTGTAATCCCAACACTCGGGAGGCAGAGGCAGGTGGATCTCTATGAGTTCAAGGCCAGCCTGGTCTACAGAGTGAGTTCCAGGACAGCCAGGACTACACAGAGAAATAAAACAACAACAAAAAGATGGGGCTGAAGAAATGGCTCAGCAGTTAAAAGCACGGACTGTTGTTGCAAGAGAACCTGGATTCAATTCCCAGCATCTACATGGAAGTTCACGACCATCTCTAACCCCAGCTCCAGGGGATCCAGTGCCCTCTTCTGGCCTCTGCAGACACCAGACACTTCTGGTGCACATGTGAACAACCATGCAAATTTGTCAAACACATGAACACATTTTTTGGCTTGTTTGTTTGAGACAGGGTTTCTCTATGTAGCCCTGGCTGTCCTGGAACTTGCTCTGTAAATCTCTGGCCTCAAACTCAAGAGATTCACCTTTCTCTGCCTCCTGAGTGCTGGGATTAAAGACATATGCCACCTCTGCCTGGCTATTTATTTATTTATTTGGCAAAAATAAAGAAAACCCGAGAGAGGCCCTCAAACTACAAGGTACAAGGAACGGGCCCTCACCAGACACCAGATCTTCTACACTTTGTTCTTAGATTTCTGTTTCCAAAATTGTGAGCAGAAGTTGTCTTGAGCTAGGCACAGTAGCGCATACCTGCATCTTAGAATTGGGTAGCCAGGGGCAGTAAGACCCTGAGTTCTAAGACATCCTGTAACTACATAGCAAGACAAGCTTGGGGCAGGCATGATGTCGCAGTCCATAATCCTGACACTCAGGCTTGTCTCAAGAAGACAAACAGAACACAGAATGTGGTGGTGGGGGTGCTTCTCAGTGCTAGAAGGCAACTTCAGGTGTCAGTAACCAGGCTAGCTGGCCCAGGAACTTCTGGGTTTCTCTTGTCTCTGCCTCCCACATCCCTGTAGCTCTGGGACTACAAATGGGTGTCCAGCTTTAAATGGATTCTAGGGATCTGAACTCATGTTCTCATGTTTGCATGACAAGTGGTTACCCACTGAACCATTCATTTTTGATATTAATATCTTATTGAACCTGGAACTCAGCAAAATTCAGGTCTTCAGAGATCCTCATAAACCCCGAGGTCTGGGTTACAGACAAATGCCCCGTGCCAAATTTTTACTTGAGTTCAGGGATTCTGATGGTCTCATGGAATTACGATGGTGTGGCAGGCACCCTCTCAACCCCCCATGTTTTGTTTGTTTCCCTGAGACAAGCCTGAGTGTCAGGATTATAGACACACAGCAACCATGCCTGCCCCAAGCTGGTCTTGCTATGTAGTTGCAGGATGTCTTAGAACTCAGCATCTTCCTGCCTCTGGTCACCCAGTGCACCGCAGCACGCATGCACACATGCACACACACAAGTGTAAAACCAATAGCCATGCCTGCCTTTAACCCCAGCACGTAGGAGGCAGAGACAGTCAAACTCTGTGAGTTCAAGGCCAGCCTGGTCTACAGAGGGAGTTCCAGGATAGCCAGAGCTACACAGAGAAACCATCTCGAAAAACCAAGCAAACAGACAAAAGGTGGAAAGAAATCAAGGAAGACACAAATACATAGACACATCTTTCACATGCTCAAATAAATAAATATATAGAAAGAAAAGAAGGGAGGAGGAGGAGGAGAGAAGGAAGGCCCTGGGGAAGTAAACAAATAAAATCCATTTCTACAGCTCACCAGTAACCTAGTCTACGGTATTTTGTCATAATGGCCTAAATGAACTAAGGAGGGCGCTTTTGGAGTCTTCCTAGGCCAGGGGTTTTCTCTTCCCTAGCTCACTGACAACTCCAGGTGCCTCCTCCTTCCCCAGAGCCACTGTCCTTGGCCCGGCCGGCACCGCTCCTACTCCCCACAGCTCTCCCACCACTCCTGCCTAGAAAACCTCTGGAGCTCAACAAACTCCTGGTCTCCACCCTCATCCAGGTCCCACCCAGCTCCGCAGCCCTCTTTCCTGTGCTTCTGCCCGCCCCCCCGTCCTCAGTGACATCAAATGTCCCAACTGTCCCTGACCAAGGAGCCCCAAGCCATGTTTCAGAGAAAAGAGGAAGCTGTGGCCACCATCTCTCACTTACAGACCCCAAAGTTTCCCCTCCTGAGCCGGCTTCTGTTGTCTTTCACAATGGAAGAGGTATCCCCTCTTCCCAACAGAAGAGCCCAGCCTCCATACCATCTCTTTCCTGTACCCACAACCTCTTTTTCTCCAGTCTTCCTCCCAAATTCCAAATGACTTTAATCTCTCCCAACTTAAAATAAGAAAACAGCACGATGGCAGTGAGGCCTCTGCAGCAGCCCTGTGTCTCCCCTTGTAGAATGGAAAACTCTTTCATTTCTGTCACTACTTGACCCACAAGGCTGTCCCTAGTGTAACCAGCATTCTCCAGCCACTCCCCGGAGTAGATTCTTCCTCCTCCAAGAGCTGGTCCCAAATGGGTCAGCAGCTGACAGCAAGAGCCACACCCTCTTTCTAAACCCCTACCCTACTACTGCACAATTGTATCCAAACTCCATCTTCTCAAAATAGAATTCCAGTCTTCTGCCAAAATCAATGTCTCTGCCCTTCTGGGGGAGGGCACCTCTGTGTGCCTAGTTCGTGGAAGCAGGGCAAGACCCAATATCGTGGTACAGAAACCTTTCACTAGGTTTGATCCCAGGACCCACATGGTGAAAGGACTGAGCCAAATCCTAAAAGATGTCCCCTGATCTCTGTGCATGCTTTGTATGGGAATTGTGCTCATACACATGATCAATCAATAAATGTAATAAAGAATACATTTTTAAAACCCCAAAACCAATGGCTGGATGAAGAGTTTGCCTAGCTTGTGAGGCTCTGGCTGCTATTAATTTTTGACTTGCTGGGCAGTGGTAGCACAAGTCTTTAGTCCCAGCACTTCAAAGGCAGAGACAGGTGGATCTCTGTGAGTTCAAGGCCAGCCTGGTCTTGTTCCAGGATAACCAAGGTGACACACACACACACACACACACACACACACACACACAAACCCTGTCTCAAACAAACAAAAAAGCACTTGCTGCCCTTGCAGCACAATCTACCCCAATTCCAAGGCTGTCTATTGCCATCTTCTGGCTTCAGAGGGCACTCCACATACGAGAGTGGGTAGGTATCATGCTACATAAAATAAAAATAAATAAACCTAAAAAATCACTCTGATCCAGACATGCTGTCTCAAACCTACAACTCCAAAATCTGGCAGGCTGAGACCAGAGGATTACTTTGTGT